CAAAAGTCCCAGCCGAGCTCAGAGCGTGCTAGGATGGCCCTTAAACCCTAAACCCTAAACCGTAAACTCTAAACCCTAAACCCTAAACCCTTGATGAAGATGTTCCAAAATATGATCCGCTCAAACCCAATGAGGGGAAGGTTTTAAACAGATCCCCAGGGCCGACCTAGTGCTGCAAGTGGTAGACATTGGTATTAACCAAGTACCACGTTAAAACGTCAGACATGTACAATGGCCCGTGAAACCTGCGCAAAGCTACAGGTTGGTCTTGGCTGTCCGGCAACGATTAAGGGCTGTTGTTGTTGTTGTTGTCGTTCGACTCGTTTGCACTAGCCTCGGGCTTGTAGATCACAACCTTGTGGATCCAGCTGTTAGGAACGGGGCCCTTGTCTCCATCCTCGAACTCCACGTAGCTCGTCTCAGCACCGACCGCAGTCACCTTGCCGGAGTTCAAGTACTTGTTGTCCTTCGTCCAGTAAGCCCACACTCGGTCGTTGCGCTGCCACTCTTCGCCAATCTTGAAGATGTCACTCTTGGAAACTGCACGGCGGTCTCCATCATGCGCCACGAACTCGTCCCCTGAGATCTGTCCTTCAAATGCCCGAGTCGTGTCCCAGTGAATGAAATGCGAGCCACCGAATCGCGTCGTCCCGCCACCGAATCGCACCATCTTGTGAATCCAGCCATTGGGTAGAAGGCCTTTATCTCCATCATCGAACTCCACGTAGCTCTTCTCAGCACCGATCACGGTCACCTTGCCCGAGTTCAGGTACTTGTTGTCCTTCGTCCAGTAAGCCCACACTCGGTCGTTGCACTGCCACTCTTCGCAAATTTTGAAGATGTCACTCTTGGAAACTGCGCGGCGGTCTCCATCATGCGCCACGAACTGGTCCCCTGAGATCTGTCCCTCAAATGCCCGAGTCGTGTCCCAGTGAATGAAATGCGAGCCACCGAATCGCGTCGTCCCGCCACCGAATCGCACCATCTTGTGAATCCAGCCATTGGGTAGAAGGCCTTTATCTCCATCATCGAACTCCACGTAGCTCTTCTCAGCACCGATCACGGTCACCTTGCCCGAGTTCAGGTACTTGTTGTCCTTCGTCCAGTAAGCCCACACTCGGTCGTTGCACTGCCACTCTTCGCAAATTTTGAAGATGTCACTCTTGGAAACTGCGCGGCGGTCTCCATCATGCGCCACGAACTGGTCCCCTGAGATCTGCCCTTCAAATGCCCGAGTCGTGTCCCAGTGAATGAGATGCGAGCCACCATACCGAGGCTTGCGGCTTTTTGCCGCAACAGCTGTCATCGCGGACGCCAACTTCTTGCGATCATCTTCAGGCAGTGCAGCGAATATGTTTCGCACCTCTGCTGTGGAAGCTCCACGAATCGGTGCACTTACGATGCTTGCCGCAGTGCCCATGGCAACGAGCTGGTTTTCAACTTGGAGCGTCTAGGGCCGACTGGAACTCCTCGAGCTGATGTTCGTGGAGTCACTGGGATCTTCTGTAGTAGTAAGAGTAGGTAGTACTTGTACTAGTAGTTCCAGTGCGAGCAGAAGTAGTCCTGGTAGTCGTACAAGTACCAAGTAGTAGATCTCATTATTACGATGGTCTGATGGCAGGTATGGGGGAGTCGTTGTGTATCTGACCTACATCACAAGGACGAAAGTCGGAGGGCGACCCTTCTTGCATTATGGTCGTTGCTGTTGCTCGTGTTTGTTGGACGGGATGCAACAAGCCGTCGTCGCCGATCGTGCTTTCCATGGGGCCTCTGCGCGCTCTTTCTCCGAGAGATTGTCGGAGCAGTCAAAACGGGGCCAGCCGACGAAACCCTAAACCCTAAACCCTAAACCTTAAACCTTAAACCTAAACCCTAAACCGTAAACCCTAAACCCTACTTCACGGCTGCCAAAAGCACAGTGCGCAGCGACTTTGTCATCCCTGCTTTGGCATCTTTCCGCTGCCATCGGGCGCCAGGAACAGCACCTACTTCTGAGCTCCATCTTGGCTGAATAGCTAGCCCAACAAGGTTATTCTTTGTGTAATACGCTATATGTATATATTATATAACCAAAAAGGTTAAAGTTTAACTTTTATTGTAAAAGGATCGTATACATATATATATATATATATATTTTATTTACATTTATGTAACCAAAAAGGTTGAAGGTTAAACTACCCAGCCCCGAAGCCATCTGGGCAGCTCTCTACGTTCGTGCCCACTGTCGGGATCCTCCATATGGGGGTGTAGGGTTTAGGGTTTAGGATTTAGGATCTAGGTTTTAGGGTTTAGGGTTTAGAGATTAGGGGTTTACGGTTTAGGGTTAGGGTTTAGGGTTTAGGGTTTAGGGCGTTTTAGGGTTTAGGGTGTAGGGTTTAGGGTTTAGGGTTTAGGGTTTAGGTTTAGGGTTTAGGGTTTAGGTTTTAGGGTTTAGGGTTTAGGGTTTAGGGTTTAGGGTTTAGGGTTTAGGGTTTAGGGTTTAGGGTTTAGGGTTTAGGGTTTAGGTTTAGGGTTTAGGGTTTAGGGTTTAGGTTTAGGGTTTAGGTTTAGGGTTTTAGGGTTAGGGTTTAGGGTTTAGGGTTTAGGGTTTTGGTTTAGGGTTTAGGGTTTAGGTTTAGGGTTTAGGGTTTAGGTTTAGGGTTAGGTTTTAGGTAGGGTTTAGGGTTTAGGGTTAGGGTTTAGGGTTTAGGGTTAGGGTTTAGGGTTAGGTACCTCTTGGGGCCTTATTATATAAGGGAATCCTAGGGTTCCCCTTACTTCGTAAACTCCCCATATGAGGGACCCAAAGAAGGACCCCTGATGTAGAGAACGGTCCATCTAGCAACACTGACGGGATGCCGCCGAGCGAGAACGTGCGGGGATGTAGTCATCCGACATGCCAAGGGCCTGCGTATCCCAACATCATGCTTGCTCCCCAAAGCCTAAACCCCAGACCCTGAACCTCATACACTGGGCTCGCACACCGCAAACCACAGGCATGGGCAGCCAATATGGCATTGCACCACACAATCGATAGCAAAAACTACAGTAGCAGAGATCCACGCCATACGGCCGTGATCAAACTGGAGAAAGCCGACACCGCCAGATCCAAACAGTGTTCACATGGTCGGAAGCCCAACTGAGTCAACGTCTTTCGCCTGGCTCCTAGGGGGGGCAAAGGTGAAAGAAACGAGCCAGCAGCCCAAACCAAACGGAATCGAAGGCTGGGAACCTAGCTGGGCAAGGTAGCCATGACAGAACAACTCCAGAGTTCAAGTCCCTGTTGCATCCCTTGACTTAACTGTAAATAAGCGAATGGCCTTGCACTAGGTTTTCCCTCTCAATAGTATTCTTACACATGATACGCCAAACCCCAACCAAGGAAAATGTAACATATCCCACGCACTGTCATTTCTGCAAGAGTGACTGAGACAGGAAATTAGAATACAACAACCACTAAGAACTTTAAGAATCCAAACCCCCTTAAGACCTACACCCTAGACCCTAAAATCGAAAAATTAAAAAAATGAAAAATTATCACAAAAATGCCTAAACCCCAAGCCCAGTTTGTGACTATCACTACTGCAGCGATTGTCGCTGGAACTCTTACTGTACAGAGCCAATGACGAGTTTTTTCTCATTGCCCATTTCACTTCTATTGCCACTTCTCTAAACCCTAAACCCGAAACCCCAAACCCAAACCCCAAACCCTAAACCCTAAACCCTAAACCCCAAACCCTTGCATTGCTATTCACAGCAGTGGGGCTCCTGGGACCATCACAGGCTCACGTCCAAGGTCTTCTGGGTCAGGAATCCAATCTCAAGCAGAGCTGGATTCTGGGTTTTTGTTTTGGGTTTAGGGGGTTTTAGGGTTTGGGGTTTAGGGTTTAGGGTTTAGGGTTTAGGGTTTAGGGTTTAGGGTTTTAGGGTTTAGGGTTTAGGGTTTAGGGTTTAGGGTTTAGGGTTTAGGGTTAGGGTTAGGGGTTTAGGGTTAGGGTTTAGGGCTTAGGGCTTAGGGCTAGGGCTTAGGGCTTAGGGTTTAGGGTTTAGGGCTTAGGGCTTAGGGCTTAGGGCTTAGGGTTAGGGTTTAGGGTTTAGGGTTTAGGGTTTAGGGTTTAGGGTTTAGGGTTTAGGGTTTAGGGGTTGGGGGTTTAGGGTTGAGGGGAAAGGGTTTGGACTTTGCGTTCGGTCGAGGGTCGTTCGTAATTCAAGGCTGTGCGTGGCGTCGAGTCGTTGTTCGATAGCTTGTAGGTAGCAACTGTCAAACCCTAAACCCTAAACCCTAAACCCTCAGAATGATGCTGCTCCTCCTAACTCACAACGGTATGCTCAGCATCAAGACGGCGGTCCTTACAGGGAAAATGCCAAGATTCAGGTCTGCAACCCCCAAACCCCCAAGGGTTTAGGGTTTAGTGTTTTAGGGGTCAGGGTTTAGGGTTTAGAGTTGGGCCACTTGCGACATGATGATCACCTTGCTCTTTATCAATCTCCTCATACACAAAGGCCCTACGCCGTAAACGCGAATCCGAACTCAACCCGAACCACGACTCGGGGTTTTACGAAAATAGGGGACCCGTGGTATAGACCCCATAAAGTAGGATTCCTTTATCATAAGGACCCCAACAACGTACCCCTAAACCCTAAACCCTAAACCCTAAACGCCGAACCCTACACCCTAATTTCGGAAACCCCCATGTTTGAGTTCGGTTCACCTTTGTTACGCGGAGGAAACACAGCTTTCAAGCAACAGGGTTTAGGGTTTAGGGTCGAAGGTTTAGGCTTTCGGGTTTAGGGTTTAGGGCTGAAGGTGACTCATGCCTGCATAGCGTATAAAATCTCTGGTACCTTCGCGAGGCCATCATGCCCACACAGCTCTTTCCGCAGGATGCTCGCTGAGCGGATGTTGCAACATATACTGGACCGAGATTGTGTCAGGAGTCAATAGGCTCATTTATGGTGAGTTGCGACCCTCCCATGTTTTGACATGTGTGCTGCGGCGAACGATCAGTGCCCCTGAAGCATCATGCGGGTCGATCTGCTTCACGTCCATCTCGGACATGGCTGCGAAGCATATCTTTGAGCGTTGCCCCTCTAGAGCGGTTGATCACGGTGAGCTGGCCCAAGTTGAACCGCGAGAACGGCATGGGTTGCCAGGCAACTGTTTCCCTCACGTAGGGACTGCAATCCTGGAGGAGATCGTACGCCTCTTGCTCGGTGAAGTGCATGGGGCTGAGACGGTTCACCAAGCCTTTGATAAGGGACTGGTCCGGCAGCGGACTCTTTATTGCCAGACGGAACACATCCAAAACAACTTCGAGCCGCGCATACACACCAGCTTCAACATTCATGTCCTCAATCTGTCGCACCAAGTCCCTATCCGTTGTGATCCAGCATGAAATCAGAGCATAGGATATGGCTGGAACCAACGCCTTGACAGTGGACGAACGAAACGAGAGGCCGCAGGTTAACACTCGAAGCTGCGCAGCGGTTCTTTGAAGGTTCCCGTCTTGGATGATGGCATGAACGTCAGCTGGCCTGACCCCACTGGCCGAAAGCTTCACCCCGATAGTTTTCACAATCCTTGACGCCGCTTCACCTTGCTGTCTTGAAAACCGGAGTAGCGGCTCCGTCAACGCACCAAGCAGACCATCGGCTTCGAAAGGAAGCTTGGAGAGCAGAACTCTCAGTTTTGCCTGCGTGTCGAAATGGCACGCTGCCTCCAAAATGCTCTTGAGATCCTCAGCAGTACTGACGCTTGCTTTCTCCAGTCTTACAACGATCCTGGTCAAGTGCTCCTGATTGCCCGCCTGCGCGGCTGACACCAACGACGGGGTCACCGCACCAACCAAGTCTGACGGCTTGAAAGGCAAGCTAGACAGCAGAACTGTCAGTTTTGCTTCCATGTCGAAATGGCGCGCCGCCTCCAAAATGGTCTTGAGATCAGCAGTACTGACACGCGCTTGCTCCAGGCTGGAAACGATCCTGGTCAATTGCTCCTGATTGCCCGCCTGCCCGGCTGACACCATCGCGTCATGTAAAGCTGTTGCGACGAAAGGCATAGGCAGTTCCAAGAGCTTTGTCTTGATATTGTTTGAGATTTTTGCATCCAAGATAGGCTCCACCAAGGCGGGATCTTGCACCCATGCTGCGAAAGCCACACAATGGAGCGCCAAGGCATCCGGCACGGGACCCTTCAGCGCAGACCTGAGAAAGTCCCGCATGACAGTTTGTAGAGCACCGTATCCCTCCACAGTCGTTGTCCTTGCTAGCTTCCTGAGTAACAAAACCTTTGCCAGACAACTCAAGTCTTTCATGGCTTCGAGGCTGCTTTTGCTTGGTGGCAGCACGTTTTGCATGTCGCTGCTGGCGACCTCCGTCCACGAGGCAGACAGGCGAACAGCTGCTTTTCTGAACAGCTTGTTCTGCTTCTTTGTCAGAGACCTATTGCATTCCCGGGCCCGCTGCTTGAATGTTGCGACTATGTCACCTTGATCTGAGATAGTGGGCGTCAATTCTCCCATCGCAATGATTTTGTTCTTGCTAACACCCGTGTCGAACAAGCCTACCAGAGCACATCTCTGAGCCACCACGTTCGGAATGTAGTCCGCCGCGCAGTTCTTAAGCGTCTTGGCAGCCTGTCGAACCGCCTCCTGGCTGGCAAGCATGCGGAACTCCAAGGTCTCACCAGGGACCCTCCAAGGCTTTATCCTCTGCAGGTGATGGAAGGGCTTGTCCCGACGTGCCAGCTCCTCCTTGAGCCTGGCAGGGAAGAACTGCCCCTGTAGGAATCTAGCCCGACAATACGCCGATGCTATCTGAAGAGGCACTCGCCCTGCTTTATGAAAGGCTCATAGACGATCAAAATCGCTCAGTTAAATTAGATGGGGCGCGTGACGGGTCGCAGAAATTACCCATCGACCCCGAAAGCGAAAGCCACATGAGGGCCGGGAAGTTCTTTCTCGGCACTTAAGGTCACACGCTCTTTGCTCTTCTGACAACCTCACCAATCAAAGAACAGCTGCTGCAAACTAGCCTAACTCATCAATGCGGTGCAAGAGATTGATACGGGTGCCTCTCTTTTCGGCGCTTTTGAAGGTCCAAGATGTAGGCCAGGAGTGAGTAGGGTTTATGGATAAAGCAGTTGGGGTAACCCTAAACCTAAACCCTAAACCCTAAACCCTCCACTGCTTCAGGCCTCCGTGCTCTCTCCTGCTCGATCTTTCGCATCAAGAGCTTGGGCTTCTCCCACTTTGCATCCGCATTGGCCTTGACAGAGGTCCGTTTTACTGATCCAAGGCTGGAACCATGGGCCCTTCGTTCCTTCCTTCCTTCCTTCCTTCCTTCCTTCCTTCCTTCCTTCCTTCCTTCCTTCCTTCCCTCCCGCCCTCCCTCCCTCCCTCCCTCCCTCCCTCCCTCCTTTCTTGTGTCCTGTCTTGTCAACAACCCTACTCTTTTTTAGTCGCAAAAAACCTAGACATGCTTGAACACAATTCAACACGGCCGCTGACACAAAGCAGTTCCTTCTACAGCAAAGGGTCCTCAAATTTGGCAGCTCGGTTATCTTATAGGGTGTGTAGTGTCAACAAGACCTGCTCAATCGGGAGACGCCCTGCCTGAAGGTATCTAGTGACCTCATCGAGGCGTCTGGCATGGCTGGGCACCGCCCAGAACGCATGAAATTGAAGCACATAGCGCACGAGCTGCCTCAGTAGCACTTCACTTTCTGGACTTGACCCTAAACCCTAAGGGTTTTTGAAGCAGCGGAAGTCACAGCAATCCACTAACTGCGCCGAACTCTAGAGGAGCGCTGTCGCCCAAACGAACAAGTCACTGATCCCCACGGCTCTCCTAAGGACTCGCTGCCGAGGGGCAGGGGGCCTTCGCAAAGCACTTGCCGCACACAATCTGCGGCGTCGCTGACCTCTTCCTGAAGTTTCCCGAAATGCTTTAACATATAGCCTTCCACACGGAGCTCAGCAACTGTGGGAAATGGGCGCCCTGCGCGGTCCCGTCTCTTGCACCAGGCTGTGTATGCTTCTTCGCGGTCGAATTGGCCGGCACCGGGCAGGAAGAACTGCCGGCGAACTTCTCGGCGCTGGCGGCGACGTTTTTGCTTTTCTGTCTCTGGTTTCTGTGCTTCGGGCGTTGATGTTTCAAAAGCCCAGCCTCCATAGTCGTCCCCGACAGAGGCCTTGATCTCAGAGACAAGCATGTCTGACGGATTCTCGTCTTCCAAGGCCTCATACTCAGCTTCGGAAAATGATGAAAATGCATTCGGGCCCAGAATGGCGGCTAGATTGTAGCATGCACAGATGTCAGCATCACTCACCCGTGGATTCGACTGGCGCGTGGCAACCACTGACTCGGGGACAGATGTATCAAGAAGGCCTGGATCTCTGTCAATACACGGGTTTACGTAGCCTCCACAGTAGAATGCACGAGCATCGATCCGCCCCGACATTCCATCTATCTTCACTTCGTAGGCATCCCCCTTGCACTCCACAATCTCGCCATCATTGCAGGGAACTGGCCCATAGATGCTGTGGCAAATTCGAATGGCATCACCCTGACGATAAATTGTTGCCTGGCAGGGGCCACGACACAAAAAACTAGGGCTCCTGCCTGCTATCTATCATTGATTGTTTATAACCGCATACCATTCTATCGTTTTTTTATAAACGTATACTATTCTATCGTTATATTCTTGTACGAATATACTACACTGCGTTAAAAAATGATTCTCATTTCTCATATGAAACTCTACTACAGACCGCGCCTCGCCATGCTCTGGATCAGACGCGTCGCGGTACGTGCCCAGTGGTCTCCAGCCTTCTTTCTCAAGGTCTTCCTCCTGCCACAGCACAACCTGCTGTCCTCGTCTATGCCGGCGCCCAACCTTGACAAGGATATTTTCAAAAGTACAGGATCATGTCTGAGAGTGCGCCAATGACAATGACCCTGGATAAGAGTCTACTAAGGAAAGAGTGTTGGCGGTGCTTGTTTTTGCTTGCGTGGGGAGCGTCGTATGTGTTGCCTGAGCACGGCGTCCTTTTTGGCTTGCTGCGCGGGAAGATGCCGGAAGCATGTGTGCTGCAGTCTGCTGTGTCTGCGACTTGCGTTGCTGTCTGTGCGGCGCCCGCTTTTGGCTGGGCGCGCAGGGTGCTGCTTGCGGTTTGACTTTGTTGTGTGCGCCCGCTGGGCATTCTTTCTGTTCCGTCTGCCCGCATCAGCTGACAGCACAGATAGTTAACCTCAACCCTAAATCCTATATCCCTAAACCCTAAACCCTTAACCCCAAACCTGAGATCCCAAACCCTACGACGCCCTACGATTCTGCAGGCTGAGAGGCCTTCGCCCGGAGCAGTCTGCTTCCCAAGACGACTGCCGCACCGCTTAGCAGCCCGGCAAGGCGTGGCCGGACCTAATTTGCGTAATGTAGGGGCCGGGCCGATTTGGTTAGAATGGTGCATATTGAATATTGGAATGATATGCTAAAAGGGCTATGGGGGCATAATAATAATCACAACAATAATAAGAAGAAGAATAAGAATAATACTTTTTTTCAGGTTTCTGTGTTCCACAGGGCAACTGTCTGCCACGTTGACCTGACATTTCAAAAGGACTTAGGCCCCAGGCGGCGGCAGACTCCGTGGAGAGTGGGATGGCTGGCCTCATCTTGTCCAGCAGCTGCGCACCATCTTCCAAGCCCACGTGTGCGACGGTGCGCCGCGTGGCTCCGGAAGACCACACATTGCCGAACATGGCGCTCCCTCCCCTCCGAAAAGGCGTGCCCGGAACGGCGCGCTTTCTGATAATCAAATGGATTGCAGGTCCGCCTCTTTGGAAACCTTGCCATCCGTCTTTTGAGCCAAGATTGCAGGTCCGCGAGAATATTTGGCAGTGCGGGTTGGGGCGGTCTCAGTAGGCGTGAAAATTCCCCAAAAGCTGAAACTGCAAGCCCCGGGTCCCGGGCCTCACATCCGTCGAAGCATCCTTCGACATCGCGTCGGATCGACATGGGCGGCTTGCAGCGTCTTCATGTCTCTTGCAGGTCACGGCATCTATCCTTCCTCATGGCTGCTTGCCACAAACAAAGCAAACATCTTGGAACTGATGTTCGGATGAGTGAAGGAGTCTCGCATCCGCCTGACACGGCTCTCACGCCACATGAGATCGGCATGTACTTAGATTGGTACACAGTGGACTTCTTGCGGCTGTCTTCAGTTACAATGGTTGCCTTATCATAGGATTGCTGATGCTCAATTTGCTATCGGAAGGATGCTCTTCTTGTGATGAATACCCTTAAACCCTAAACCCTAAGTCCTAAACCCTTGTAAAGCCTTAAACCCTTAAACCCTTAAACCCTTAAACCCTTAAACCCTTAAACCCTAAACCCTAAACCCTTAAACCCTAAACCCTAGACCCCACGACTCCCCTAAAGGTCTGCAACCAGCAGTTGGCCTGCGAACTCTCCGCGGAGCGAAGAGGCCAACTCCCAGATTGCTCCAAGCCTCTCCCCCAGGGTTAGGGTTTAGGGTATAGGGTTTAGGGTTTAGGGTTTGGGGTTTGGGGTTTTGGGTTTAGGGTTTAGGGTTTAGGGGTTTTGGGTTTTGGGTTTAGGGTTTTGGGTTTAGGCTTTAGGGTTTAGGGTTTAGGGTTAAGAGTTAGGAAGTTTAGGGCTGTTTATTTGAGGTTCCAGGCTTCAGAGCTTTGAGTGCTGGTGTGCACATACCATGCAGGACTCCAGAACCTCAAAACTCCTCAACCCTAAACCTTCAACCCTCTAAACCCCAAACCCTAAACCCTAAACAACCCTAAACCCTGAACAACCCTAAACCCTCAACCCTCAACCCTAAGCCCTAAGCCCTAAGCCCTAAGCCCTAAACCCTAAACACTGCCCAACAGGGAGACCTCCCCACAGCCTCCCACGCTGGCCTCCCGAGCTCTGGAAGAAGACGCCGAGCCGCCGGCTGCGGGCCAGCAGCGAGGGGGGCAGGGGCCCCAGCCTAGGGTTTAGGGTTTAGGGTTTAGGGTTTAGGGTTTAGGGTTTAGGGTTTAGGGTTTGGGGTTTAGGGTTTAGGGTTTAGGGTTTAGGGTTTAGGGTTTAGGGTTTAGGGTTTAGGGTTTAGGGTCGCATCGTCTTCGAAAGGGTTTAGGGGTTCAGGGTGTCGGGGACTTGGGGTGTAGGGTTTTAGCGGGGTAGGGATCTGGGGTTTGGGGTCAGGGTAGCACGGTGCCGGCGGTGGCCTTCAATTTCCCATACATCGCACGAGGCAGGACCCGGAGAAATTAGAAAAACGGTAGTCATCCTCGTCAAGGAAGTTGCAAGCGAAAAGTAGGAGTAGAAGCACTAGATTGAACGTGTTCTTAATCGGGATTATAGTACACAATAGTCCCCATTAAGGACTCGGAAGGACTCGGATACCTGTTCCCCTCAAAAAGCGACCGGAGCATCCCTGGAGCTGGAGATTGAAGACACCAAACTCCGAATCCCCTTATGTGGTCCAGTATCTTAGGAAGTATTAAAGGTTCACCTTTGGGATTCTACAGGGAGCATAGTACTAACCTTCGGGATTATATAGGGATCATAATTCCCCTACAAAGGTTAAAGGCGACCTACTCTGTGTGCGAAACTGCCCACTTCGACAAAGTCACAGCTCCACGATCTGGGCGATATGCTCCGGCTCACGGGCCAGCGCAGGGCGGGCCTTGCGCAAAAGGCTCCAGCAATGTATGTGTAGGGTTTGGGTTTAAGGGTTTAGGGTTTAGGGCTTCGGGTTTAGGGTTTGGGGTTTAGGGCTTAGGGCTCAGGGCCTAGGGTTTAGGTTTCAGGGTTTAGAGTTTGGAGCCTAAACCCTAAACCGGATTTTAGGGCTCAGGGTCCGAAATCAGCTTGGTCAAAGGCCCTGGCGGCCTCCAGCGCGGCGGGCCTCGCAAGGGCCCGCCGTGGATCGAACAAGTAGCCTCGGGAGCTGGGGGAGTAAGGGCTTCTTGGATTTTGGGGTCCAGGGTTTAGGGTTTAGGGTTGAGGGTTGAGGGTTTAGGGTTTAGGGAGCTAGGGTTTTCTTTAGGCTTCGGTACTTAGGACGACTTGGAGCTCGAGTCGACTTTGGGGCTGAGGATCAAACAATGGAAACACAAACCAACAGTGTGGTTTAGGATTTAGGGTTTAGGGTTTAGGGTCTAGGGTTTAGGGTTTAGGGTTTAGGGTTTAGGGTTTAGGGTTTAGGGTTTAGGGTTTAGGGTTTAGGGTTTAGGGTTTAGGGTGTAGGGTTTAGGGTTTAGGGTTTAGGGTTTAGGGTTTAGGGTTTAGGGTTTAGGGTTTAGGGTTTGTCATACACGCCCTGTTGATGTGAGACTTTCCGATGCAGAGACCTACCCTCTATCGATTCAGAGGCCTGCCCTCTATCTGCACGCCCTCCCCGCACTGCAAAGCCCATTTTCAGGACCCTCCGGCTGCCCCACTGGGTCTTCAGAGGGGCAAAAATCACCGCAGCAAGGACAGATGAAGCGACTCCCGACGAGGAATTGCTAAGCTTAGGGTTGTGTGGCTTCGGCTTGTGATCATACACAAGTAAGACTCCTCTGCTACATGTCTTTTGTACATACGTACACACACATTGAAAATATGCTGTTAGCACACGGAGGGCTATCGAGATTTGGGGGTTCAGAGCTTCTCGCCAGCACGCTACACGCCGAGTTGCGACCTGTGGCCAGCTCGTAGATGGTGCACGCCAGTGACCAGACGTCGGCCGCAGTGTCGTAGCCTGCATTCAACATGACCTGGCGTGGTGGGGGGGGGGGGGGGGGGGCCAGACAACAAAATGAACACTTTGATCCCCGCCCTGTCCCTCAAGGTTTTGAAGTTGCAGCTGGGAAGCCTCAGCGCTACACCCACATTATCTGCTGGTCAAGCACCCTGGGGCCTACTTAATCAGAGTGGGTACAATAGAGGGTTTGCACTGTAGATTGGGTAGTGTGTACATACTTAACATACAGTTTGTCCAGAGTAAGGACATGAGATCGGTAATTAGTGACGGTCATCACATTACGATTATGAAGCGGTAAAACCGGCAGTTCCATAAGGATTACAAGGGAATAGTATCGGATGCTATGTAAGGATGACAAAGGAATGACACCGGCAACTATGTGTAAGGATTGTGGAGGGATAAAACCGGTAACAAGTATCGGTAACGACTCCGCAGTTCTTCTCTATAGTCCCTCTGAACCCGATACACCCTCAACCCTAGCCCAAAACCTCCAAGCCCTCCCTGAACCCGGAACCCTACACCCTAAACCCTAAACCCTAAACCTTCGTAGCAGACTGGAGCCTCCACCGCCTTGAACTCGAGCGTCGTGATGTCCGCGGAGGCGTGCTTGTCCCTGGTGCCTGGGTGCTGGGCTACTTGGTGGCTCAGGGTTTAGGGTTTAGAGTTTAGGGTGTAGGGTTTAGGGTTTAGGGTTTAGGGTTTAGGGTTTAGGGTTTAGGGTTTAGGGTTTAGGGTTTAGGGTATGAGTCTACTTATAAGCTACTTGGGGGACTTGAGGGGGGGGGGGAGAAGTACAGCTTGAATTGGGGTTTTAAAGTACCCTGAACCTCCAGGTAGGGTCGCGGCATCGAGATAGGGGGTTTCCGACATTAGGGGTACCCTATTCCTGCTATTTGGGCTCGAAATTAGGGGGGTCCCTTATTCGCGTAAACTTCCAGAAAAAGGGGTTCAGGGTGTAAGCGGGGTTTTAGGGTTATAGGGTTTTCGGATTTAAGGTTTTACAGTTTCAGGGTCATGGATTTACATACCATGTTGGTTGAAAGGGGCCATTGCCTCATCTTGGCGCACGAGGATTCGACCCAGGCAAAGTGCCATGGCAACCACGATTCTGATCCGCGGTCCTCAGCTTCATCAGCTGTTGGGCGACATGTGAGATGAGGACAGAAATTATCCCGTCTGTCTCGAAGTGCGAGCGGATCTTCGTGGCAATCTTCGTTGCACCCGCTCGTGTTTTTGCTTCTCGAGCTGGATGCGGGCGCAGCAAGCTCTTCGTCGTATGCCTCCAAAAGCCGCGCAACCTCTCTAACCCTAAACCCTATGCCCTAAACCCTAACCCTAAACCCTAAACCCTAAACAGATAAGCTCGAGGCACTCTTTCGACTTGTGACCTGCCCAGCGATGTCTCATTCCAGGGCCACTTGGGAACCCTGACCTTAAAAAGCGAATAAGGGCCTACTCTGGGTCCTAGTAGCCCTAAACCCTAAACCCTAAACCCTAAACCCTAAACCCCAGAAAAAGGGGGAATAAGGGCCTACTCTAGTAGAAGAAGGGCCGACTCTGGGTCCTAGTCTGACGACCAGGGTGACAATCCGAGGCGCAGCTGTTCCCGAGGTCCACGAGGCTAAAGCTCGCTGAGGCACCTGGTTTAGGGTTTAGGGTTTTGGGCTTAGGGCTTAAGGTTTAGGGTTTAGAGTTTAGGGTTTAGGGTTTAGGGTTTAGGGTTTATAGGGTTTATGGGAATTGTAGAGAATCGGTGACGCTGCTAATTTGAGGCCCCTTTGGAGGTGTCCTTCCGTACAAGATCTTTGACAAAGGGCGATAAGGGGTTGTATGATATGACCCTCAACCCTAAACCCTAAACCGCAAAACCGCCCTCCCTGCCTCCCTGTAGCGCGAGCTCCAGAATCTTCAGGCGCTCCGCTCTGCCGAAGGGCGTCTTCCTCTAGGGGCGTAGGTAGGGTTAGGCTTATTTAGATTTAGGGTTTTAGGGGTTAGGGGCTGTGGTTTGGGGGTAGATTACAAGGGAGCGTCAAGTATGGACGAGCCACGCTGATTCCCCTAAAACCTCCCTAAAGCGCCGAAAACCCAAAACCTTAAAACCTCAAAAAACAAAAAGACAACCTAAACCTAAAGCCCTAAAGCCCTCAAAACCCGAAAACCGACAGCCGCCCCGCCTCTTCTGAGCCCAAAAACCCTAAAAACACAGCCTAAAACCCTAAACCCTAAACCCTAACCCCTAAACCCCTAAACCCCTAAACCCCTAAACCCCTAAACCCCTAAACCCCTAAACCCTAAACCCTAAACCCCTAAACCCTAAACCTCCTGAAACCCCGAAAGCCCGAAAGCCGCCCAGCCTCATGACGTCAAGTATGGGGGAGCCACTCGGGATGTTGATGAGCAAGTTCTCTGGCTTGATGTCCTGCCAGCGGCCAAGAAGTGGGACAGAAGGGTTTAGGGTTTAGGGTTTAGGGTTTAGGGTTTAGGGTTTTAGGGTTTAGGGTTTAGGGTTTAGGGTTTAGGGTTTAGGGTTTAGGGTTTAGGGTTTAGGGTTTAGGGTTTAGGGTTTAGGGTTTAGGGTTTAGGGTTTAGGGCTCAGGGTACCCAACCTCCCGAACCCCCTAAACCCTAAAAGCCTAAAACCCTCAACCCTCAAACCCTGAACTTTGGGGTTCAGGGGTTGTGGGGTTTGAGGGGTTGCGAGCTTGGGAGCCTCGGGTTCTGGCGCTTCGGGGCTTAAGGTTTAGGGCAGAAGCTCTACAGACTCTACAGTTGTAAGGTCTAGGACTTTGGGGTCTAGGGCTTTGGAGACAAAAGGACTTTGGAGAACTTCAGGACTTTTGGGGACTTTAGGGCTGGGGGGGGACTTCTCTGAAGGGTCAAGGATTTCAAGTTTCAGGTCCCTCCACCACCCCTCTCCACAAGGTGTCCGTGTGGATGATGGAGCATTCCCTGCCGCGGGGCGCTATAGGGTGTAGGGGTTGAGGGTTTAGGGTGTAAGGGGTTTAGGGTTCTGGGAGTTTGGGGTTTAGGGTTTGGGGTTTCGGGTTTGGGGTTTTGGGTTTAGGGTTTAGGTGTATGGGGTGGGTGTTTAGGGTTTAGGGTGTTTTGGGGATAGGGTGTTTTGGGTGTTGGGTTGGGGGGTTTCTGGCTTTCAGTTTTTGGGTTAAGGCGGAGCCCCACAGAGCCGGAAAGAGCCTCGGGTTAAGGGTAAGGGTCAACAGCCTCAACCCTGAACCCCAAACCCTAAACCCCAAACCCTAAACCCCAGACAGTAAACCCCAGACAGTAAACCCCAAACCCTAAAACCTAAACCCTAAACCCTAAACCCTAAACCCTAAACCCTAAACCCTAAACCCTAAACCCTAAACCCCAGCCTGTGCAGGAAGTCCAACGCCCGCAGCCCGCCCCCGAGCGCGGCCCGCAGCAGCGGCAGAGGCAGCCGAGAGCCTCGACACCGCCTCGGTCTCAAGGGTTTAGGGTTTAGGGTTTAGGGTTTGGGGTTTAGGGTTAAGGGTTTGGGGCTTTGAGTTTTGGGCTTTGGGGTTTGGGGTTAGGGTTGGGGGGGGGGGGTTCAGGTTAATCGGGTTTTGGTTTTGGGTTTTGGGTTTGGGGGTGTGAAGCTAGATTCTTGGATTTGCCAACAGAAGAGCGGCCTCCTACAGACCGAATCTGGCGCTCACAGCCCGAAATCCCAAACCCTAAACCCCAAACCCTAAGCCCAAAACCCCAAACCTCAAACCCTAAACCTAAGATCCAAGATGCTTTTCTAGCATATTATGTAGGGAGCAGAAGGGAATACATTTGGTACTTCCAACCCCCCAAACCCTAAACCCTTAACCCGATATGGGTCGGGCTGGTTTGGGTTTGGGTCAGGACCTGTGGCGAGTGGTTGCCAAAGAGGCGCTCTGCCATCTCAAGAGCAGAAGGGCCCAGGAGCTGAGAAAGGCGTGGGGCGGGGGAGGGACGGGAGGGAGGGGGTCTTCCTTCATTGCGGTTTAGGGTTTAGGGAGAGTTTCAACAATTTAGGATTGAGGGTTTGAGGTCTATAGGGTTGAGGGTGTTAGTGGCGGTTGATCGTTTAGGGGGGTGGAGAGATCAGGGACGGTGCCTTTCGGGTTGCTTTGGGCCTTCGGGGCCCCCAGGACTGAAGGGTTGAATCGGCGGCGAAAAGGATGGTTGAAGGTCTTTATACGGGGTTCTGAAAGGTTGGGGTTTCGGGTTTCGGGTTTAGGGCTTAGGGTTTTGATTGTCCTTGTGCTGGGTACCTCCTCCCTTGTGTTTGAAGGGGGTCTGTGTTTGAAGGCCCCTACGTTTGCCCCTAAGGACTCCTTTCAGGAGCCTGTTTCAAAGATCTTTCAGGGCACAGTATATACGCGCATCATGAGGAGAGTATATTCGACCCTGAACCCAAGAACCTAACCCTAAAAGCCCCCCTACACACTTAACCCTAAAGCCTACAAAAACCCTCAAGCCCAGAAAACAACATCCCCCAACCCCGAAACCCTTAAGGGGTATGAGGAGCGACCCCTAGAAGGGGCCATTAATCTTATTCCCCTACACAACCCGTAATATAACTTACATAGTCCCTCTATGCCTAAGTAGCCCCGAAATGCGCCGTAAATGACCCCTAAGGTCCCTTATAAGTGTCCCCTTCCCCGAAACCAGGCCTCCAGCGCCACACAGGCATGTTGGCAACATGGCCCCTGGTGAGGGAAGAGCCTCGCCCAGGTTTCAGTGTTTAGGGTTTTTCTTTAAACTCTAAACCCTAAACCCTAAACCCTGAACCCTAAACCCCAAACCGCGTTTAGGGTTTTTAGGGTTAGGCCTCAAGGCTTGGAATGTAGGATCCTACGCCAGCCTCCACCCCAACGTTTCACGACTGGACGTCCTCCCAAAAACATATGGCCAAGTATCTACAATGTTTTCTGTTAGACGTACTTGGGGGTTCAGGGTACCGAAACCCACTAGAACTGTAGTTATAACCCACTTGCAAGCACCCGAAGTGCCCTAATAGGGTTAAAAATTTTGGGTGATGAGTACAGTTATCATTGGTTAATAAGTACCATGAACCTTCAAGTAGTGTGGGTGGGATTGGTACAGTATGGGATCCCAGTGCAACAGGCTCCGCACATCACTGTCTGGTTCCGCTTTTGCTACCCAGGTTCGCGACAGGCAGAAACTAAGGAAAAGCTCCCGCAATCCATCGAAATTGCTGAGAACAACCCGAAACCCCCTAAACCTCCTATGCCCCTAAACCCGAAGATCTAACTTCATCGTCTTAGATACACTAATATAGGGGTCGGAATAATGATTAATAACATTCCGTGAGGGTCCCTTTATGAGTATACTAGAATAACCCCCCCCAAACCCTATTCTAATTATTAAGGCCGCTATAGTAGCCCTAAACCCTAAACCCTAAACTCCAAACCCTAAACCCTAAACCCCTAAACCCTAACTGGCCAGGGTGCCCTCGCAAGCTCACCAAGGAGGGCGGCCGCCACTGTGCCAACTCCGCCGCGTCACGCAGGAGCTCGCACTGTCCAAAAGAAGGTTTTAGGGTTTGGGGTTTAGGGTTTAGGGTTTAGGGTTTGGGGTCTAGAGTTTAGGGTTTAGGGATTGGGGTTTAGGGTTTAGGATTTGGGGTTTAGGATTTGGGGTTTAGGGCTCTAAATCAAGGGTTTCTTCCTTGCAGGGCCCTTTCCAGAGAGAACTTTGAAGTTTTAAGATTGGGGGCTTTGGGTCATTCAAATGGACCGGCGCTCAGAGCGGGCTCTGGGATTCCTAGGTTGAGGGCCCTGCTCCAAGTTTTCGCCCTAAACCCTAAACCCTGAACCCTCAACCCCTAAACCCCTAAACCCCTAAACCCCTAAACCCCTAAACCCCTAAACCCTGAACCCTCAACCCCTGAACCCCTAAACCCCTAAACCCCTCAACCCCTAAACCCCTAAACCCCTAAACCCTCTAAGCAAGCTGAAGGTTCAGGATGTATCAACGGGCTTAGAGGGACCCCCCAAGCCCAAGCCCTAAACCCTGAACCCTAAACCCTAGCCCTAAACCCTAAACCCTAAACCCTAACCCTAAACCCTAAACCCTGAACCCTGAACCCTAAACCCCAAACCCAAAACCCCTAAGCCCAAGCCTCCTCCGATGCATAGAGCTGGTAGCGATCCACCGCGCGGTACCTGAGGTGCTTCACCCCACCCACCTCGAGTTTTAGGGCTTGGGGGTTTAGGGCATTTTAGGGCTTAGGGTTTAGGGTTTAGGGTTTAGGGTTTAGGGTTTGGGGTTTGGGGTTTGGGGTTTGGGGTTTGGGGTTTGGAGTTTGGGGTTTGGGGTTTGGGGTTTGGGGTTTGGGGTAACTTAGGGTTTAGCTCTTAGGGCTTAGGACTCAGGACTGAGGATTTATTTAAGACAGGAGAAAGTCGAGAGAAGTTGTTGGTGGTTTTAGGGCTTCAGGCTCAGGACTCAGGACCTAGGCCCAAGAGAAACCTGGGAATAAAAAGGGTACCCTTTTTGGTTCCAAGGGGGCTCACAAGGGAACCTTAACGCGAAGCAAGGAATAAGGGCCTACTTTGGGTCCTAGGAACTTAGGATGTAAGACAGGAGAGCGATCAAGGCTTTGGCGGTTTTCAGAAAACAAGGGCCCCAAAGCTGGAGCCCGGATTTTCCTACACTTTGGAAGGGGAAGCCCACCAGAAAAGCCTCAACCCGAAATCCCTAAGCCCTAAGCCCTAAGCCCTAAGCCCTAAACCCTAAACCCTAAACCCTAAACCCTAAACCCTAAACCCTAAAGACCCTAAACCCTATGAACCCTTAACCCCAAACCCTTGCACCCCCGAGGTGCACTTTCAGCGCCACGAAGCCGAAGTTCGACTCCTCTTGTTCCTGTTGGAAGAAGTCAGGGTTCCTCTTTTGCGTTGGTTTTTTTTTGTTTTTTGCGGTTTTGGGGGGGGCTTTTGGGTTTTTGGCCTGTAGGGTTTCTTAGGTCATTTTTGGGGTTCTTAGGGTATGAGGGCTTTTGGGGCTTGTTGGAAGGGGGAAAGGCTGAAGTCAGAGTGGTTTTGCTTTTGTGCTTATCCGATTTGGGGGTTCTTTCAGGTGCTTTAGGATGTTCATGGTGTTTTTGTATCAGGATTTGAGGGTTCTGAGGATTTTCGGGTTTGTTGCGGGGTTTTAGCACCAGATGGGTGCCAGGGGCTTTGGATGCGTGTTCCAGGGGTTACAGTGAGCCTCCGCGGCTCCTCCTCAAATGAGGCGCGATGCTTTTTCGCCAAACCTTAAACCCTAAACCCTACGGTAACACACCCTAAACCCTAAACCCCATACTCTATAGACCCCAAACCCTACGCGGCACCGGAGGTGAGTCGCCGGCACACTGCGGCGTGCGGTAAGCAACAACTTGCAAGCGCTCGATTCCCTACAACAGCTCAGCCACTAAGCCTACACACCTAAACCCGAAACCCCCAACCCTAAGCACCCCTAAAACCCCCCAACCCTAAGCACCCCTAAAACACCCCAAGCTTGGCATATTTGATAGGGATTATAATACCCCCTATTATCTTCTCTATAAAGGACTGTTAGTATAAGGGGGAACATCCCAAACCCAAACTCCAAGAAACCCCCAAACCCAGGAAGCTCTGCCTCGTCGGCGCAGAGCCAGACGGTGGCAAAGGCTCCTGCAGCATAAGGCTTTAAGCTATTTTGGGGGGGATTTGGGATTGTAGTGGTTCATGTATGTTTCTTTACTCTTTTGTTCTTTTGTTACTTTGTTGGGGGGGGGGGGGGATTTTAGGGTACCTCGGTTTAGGGTTTAGGGGTTTAGGGTTGAGGGTTCGGGTTTACGCCTAAGCCCTAAGACTGGCTGCTAAGAACCTCCTTGAGGCCACCAAAGCTTATACGACAGAAGTACATGAACCTTTAGGGCATTGGGTTTGGGATGTCGGTGGCTCCGCGAGGCAATGTAGCTCAGACCGCAGAGTTGGGATTCTGGGGTTTGGGATTTAGGAGTTCTGAAGGGGTTTGGCATCTTCTTAGGGCTTCTTCTGTTTAGGGTTAGGGTCTGGCCCTGGGCCTGTAAACCCTATGAACCCTATACACCCTATGAACCCTTTACACTGTACACCCTATAACCATAAAGCTCGATAAAGCCTACAAACCCTGTAAACCATATCAACCCTCTAACCCAATAATCCCTATAAACCATAAACCCTATAAACCCTACATAAATCCCCTTAAACCCTTAAACCCTGAACCCTGCGAACCCTGAACAATACAAGCCCCTCCTGTTCCCAGCCGCCCGCGCACGCGGAAGCGATCGCAAAGCAGCGCCCCAGGTCGAACGGCATGGAGCCCTTGGCCCTGGAGGGTGAATTGAAGAGGTTAAGGTTTAGGGTTTAGGGTTTAGGGTGTAGGGTGTAGGGTGTAGGGTTTAGGGTTTAGGGTTTAGGGTTTAGGGTTTAGGGTTTAGGGTTTAGGGTTTAGGGTTTAGGGTTTAGGGTTTAGGGTTTGGGATTTACGGCTTACGGCTTGTGTTGTAGGCTTAAGGGCTAAGGGCTTAAGGTTCGGGATCAATCTTTCTCGAGAAGGGGACTCTGCAAGAAAAATCGCGACGAGCGGGCCCTGCTTGTTCAAGAGCTGCTGCTCCGCGAGCAACACGCCCCCTTCAACCCGCTGCCTCCCTGAAGAAAGTCCGGTCAAGTCAGGATGAAAAAAACAAAACGAAGCCCAAAACCCTAAACCCTAAACCCAAAAACCCTAAACCCTAAACCCTAAACCCTAAACCAACTCTCGGAATGACCCCGGTGCCTCCTCGCAGTCTTCGATGTTGTCGTCCGAGTCTGGTGCGGACGAGTCCTGCCTAGGGGTTTCTTTTCCGCCCATGTGTTGAATCCGCTTCACCGCCCTGGGGGCAGTTCAAGAAAGACCGTCCGCCATGCAACAAATGCGCAGACTAAACCACAAACCCTAGAACCCTGCAAGGCGCCCGCCCCGCCCGCCTCACTGACAAGACCTGCGGAAGGGCTGCTGGTTTCCGGGTTTAGACTTCATTGGGTTTCGAGCCCATCAGTGCTGGGGCGTGGAGGCTGTGATGTATGGCTCGGTTAATTGGGTTAATGGGCTTAACGGGCCACCTGGCCGACCAAGCCGTTCACACAATCATGAACCCATAGGCCTGTCGATTTCTTTCATTGAGACTGCAGCGGGAGAATGTGCAAAGAAACGGAGCGGGTTGTATACGTTCTTTTTGTCCAGACTTCTGACCACCCCGCCCAAACGTGCCCCACCCTGCCCGCCCCACCCCGCCCACCCCACGCCACCCCGCCTCACCCCTCCCCCGAACCCTAAACCCCAGACCCTAAACCCCGCCCTATGCCCTGAACTCGAGCCACAACCTTACCAGTAAAGGGGAACCACCAGGCCTCTGAGCTACTCCGCACACGACTGCGGCTGCGGCTTCGGCTGCGGCTCACAGCCATTAGGGGCACAGAGTCTCTTGGAAAAGGTGTTTCGGGTTTGGGGCTTCGTGGGCTTGAGGGGTTTATGGTTTAGGGTTTAGGGTTTAGGGTTTAGGGTTTAGGGTTTAGGGTTTAGGGTTTAGGGTTTAGGGTTTGGGTTTGGGGTTGAGGGTTTAGGGTTTAGGGTTTAGGGTTAGGGTTTGGGGTTGAGGGTTTAGGGTTTGAAGGTTTGAGGGGTTGCGGGCTTCAGGGTTCAAGGGCTTGCACTTGGGTTGGGGTTCAGGGCTTGGGGGTTCAAGGGTGCGGTTGACGGGACAAGGGATGGTGTGTGTAGTGGGACTGGAAGCCTCAGAAATCTGCAACACGCTTGCCCGGCGGTTACGGACTATCAACACTGTACCCTAAACCCCCAACCCCAGACCCTAAACCCTAATAAACCATCCACCTGCTCTCAACCCCTCCACATCGAACCTGGCAAAACCCTAACCAGACACCGACCCCAACAAAAGTCTTTAGGACTTTGGGCATTTAGGGTTGAATAGCTTGGTTTCAGGGTTTAAGGGCTTTGGGCATAGAGTCCGTAAGCTGACAAATTGCAGAAAGCGCACCTTTCTGTCTCCAAGAGCACACATCCTGCAGACCTCGAGCTGAGCCTATCCCTGCGTCCGCGGCTGTTGCCGCTCAGGGTCTGTCACGCCCCATCCTCGCTCCTCTCAGAGTGGGTTTCCCCCAACAGCCACAAGTTTGGGGGCCTGTCTACCAAGACCGGGTGGGGTGGTTTTATCTGCAAATCTATGATTGCTGCTAAACCCTAAACCCTAAACCCTAGACCCTAAAACCCATGATCGCGCCCACCCTGCCCTATGAAGATGTCCTGGAGCAATGCCTCGCGCCGGGTGCGGAGCTCCTGCCACAGACCATAAGCCCTAAACCCTAAACCCCTGAACCCCTAAACCGCAAACCCCCAAACCCCTACACCCCTAAACCCCTAAACCCGAAACCCCAAACTCTAAACCCCAAAGCCCTAAACCCCCAAACCCCCAAACCCCTACACCCCTAAACCCCTGAACCCTAAACCCGAAACCCCAAACTCTAAACCCCTAAGCCCTAAACCCCTAAACCCCTAAACCCCTAAACCCTAAACCCCAAAACCCAAAACCCTAAACCCCAAACCCCGAAACCCTTCTTGCGAACTCTGGCGCTTCTGGGGCTTGGAGCTCTGCGGATTTGGGGGCTCTGGGGTTGTAAGATCTCGTAAGACAAGAGGTCTTAGGGGCCCGAGCGTGTCAAGATCGCATGGGGTTTAGGGTTTAGGGTTTAGGGTTTAGGGTTTAGGGTTTAGGGTTTAGGGTTTAGGGTTTAGGGTTTAGGGTTTAGGGCTTAGGGTTTAGGGTTTAGGGTTTAGGGTTTCGGGTTTAGGGCTAGGGTTTAGGGTTAGGAGCAGACAAAAAAAAGAGTTGAGGGTTATGGGCAGGTTTAAGGGGATTAGAGGGTTTATGGGGTTCATAGGGTTGCATATTGGTGCCTTGATAACTACAATAGGGTTTTGGGGGGGGTTCTTATAGTATAACTATAAAGGGACCAGAAGGGACGACTACTTGAAATTATTAGAAAAACCTGTATTACAAGGGTTTTTAGGATTTATAATTTATAGGATTGAGAGGGTTTGAGGGTTGAGGCGGCCTCATACGGCACATGTTCCGTCAACTTCCCTCCCTCCCCCTAATTAATTACACCTCAAAGCTCTAGAATCTTACCCTTTAAACCAACCCCCAAAAACCCTTAAGCCCCTGAGCCCCCCCCCACAACCCATAAGCCCCAAAACCCTGGACCGAAACACTTGAGAACTTCCCGCGTCGGCGCCTCAAACCCCAAACCCTAAATCCGAAACCCGAATCCCGAAACCCTAAACCCGAAATCCTAAACCCTAAATCCTAAACCCTAAACCCTAAACCCTAATTAAACCCTGTAAGCCCTAAAAACCCACCTGATCCAGACGACGGAAGAGCGGGGTGGCCATGGCCTGGGATGCTTGGAAAGGTTTAGGAGCTCCGGGTGGGGGTTTAGGGTTTAGGGTTTAGGGTTTAGGGTTTGGGGTTTAGGGTTCAGGGTTCAGGGTTCAGGGTTTAGGGTTTAGGGTTTAGGGTTTAGGGTTTAGGGTTCAGGGTTCAGGGTTCAGGGTTCAGGGTTCAGGGTTCAGGGTTCAGGGTTCAGGGTTCAGGGTTCAGGGCTAGGAATGAAAGGGGGAACCTTATTTGCTTCATAGGTCTCATAATGGGACCTTACCCAATACAAAAGGAAGTTTTGGGTGTCTGGGCTTAACGGGTAAGAGGGTTGCTGTAGGAATAACAGCACCTGTCGAGGCCTCGGCTTAGGCCCCTTGGGAGGGTTTAGCGTTGGGAGTGCAGGGGCTGTGGGTTTTGGGCTTAGGGTTTGGGTTTAGGGTTTCGGGTTTAGGAGTTCAAGGCTCAGGATTTACAATCTTTGCCGTCTAGTGCCCGGGAATGCATGCTCAAGCTGGCATATGGGAACCACCTTCCGACCCTTGAACCTGAAAAGCAGACCCAACCCTATAAACCCCAAAATACCCTAAAAACCATAGAACCTAAACCAAACCGTATAAACCCCCTAAACCACACGTAGGGGCCACTTCTCGGAGGTTCAGGGGGTCCCAGTACCCTTCGCAGAATACCCTTCTCGGTGTAGTGTAAGCCACCTTTTGTGTACGCCACCCTTTCAAACAGGAACCCAAAAGGGCTAAAAGGGCACGGCTGGGCTGCCCAGTACTTCTTAGTTGAGAGATTTTCCCTGCTTCCCCCTTTCACCCTATGTATCTAGAGGTCCAACCCCTAATTCAGAGGAGTTTGGCAATTTCTTGAGCTGTGGAGTTTAGGATTGAGAGAATTGTGCCTAAGGAGCCTACCTTATTCGGGTAGAATATACCGGCTGGCTGCAATTTCGTAGGTTATAACCCCCATGGATATGGGGTATGAGCCCCCCAAAGTAATAGGTAAATGGAGCCCCAACCCTAAACCCTAACCCTAAACCCTAAACCCTAACCCTAAACTCTAAACCGTAAACCCTAAACCTTAAGGTTTTGGGAGCTGCGGGGCACGCCTGGTTGGTGGAGATAAAGAAGCGCCGCAAGGGCTCCTCGCAGACGGTGGGTAGGTCCTGAGGCCCAGAGGGTGCTGGGTTCGGGGGTTAAGTTTTGGGTTTAGGGTTTAGGGTTTAGGGTTTAGGGTTTAGGGTTTAGGGTTTAGGGTGTAGGGTTCAGGGTTCAGGGTTTAGGATTTAGGGTTTAGAATTTTAGGGTTTCGTTTCAAGTTAAGGGGGTCTGGCTGAGAATGCCCCAGATTCAAGGATGAAATTTCCGGATTCAGGGGTCTGGGCAAGGAGATTTAGGGCTAAAGCCAAGTCTCTCGCAATGTTGCCGAGAGCTGTGTGCCACATGAAAAAGACATGCCGCATGTGCGGGCTGCGTGAGTGAAGCAGCTGCCAACTTTCAACCTAAGTATTGTCATCACAGGTCCCCTCCCAGATCCTCTTAGTCTTGGAACTGTTCGTAGGGGGCGGGTCTTCTAAACTGTGGGCTCCGATTTAACCCTAAACTCCAAACCCTGAACCCCAAACCCTGAACCCTAAACCCTAAACGCCCTGCGCTAAGGGGTGAAGTGGCGTCAGGGCTCACGTGAGGGTTTGTGCCTTAGGCGCTTTAGGGGCCTTGGGCTTTGGGTGGTGTAGGCTCAGGGTCGTAAACCCTAAACCCTAAACCATCCCACGAACCCCAACCCCTAAACCCTCCTTGAATCCTAAGCCCTAAACCCTCCTATGTGCCCTAAACCCTAAACCCTGAACCCTAAACCCTAAACCCTAAACCCTAAACCCTAAACCCTAAATCCTAAACCTTTGCCCGAGGCCACCTTCTCCGCACCCACTGAGTTGGTGAGCGGAGTCTTGGCACCTGGGCCCGCGGCTCGCCTAAAGTCCCGAAGAAGAAACTAAAGCCCCCAAGCCCTTTAAGGGTTTAGGGTTTAGGGTTTAGGGGTTAGGGTTTAAGGTTTCGGGTTTGGGGTTGAGGGTTGAGGGTTTAAGGTTTAGGTTTAGGGTTTAGGGTTTCGGGTTTAGGGTTTAGGCTTTGGGGTTTAGGGTTTAGGGTTTAGGGTTTAGGGTTTAGGGTTTAGGGTTCATAGGAGGGTTTAGGGTTAGGTTTAGGGTTTAGGGGTTAGGGTTTAGAGTTTAGGGTTTAGGGTTTAGGGTTTAGGGTTTAGGGTCTATTTGGGGGTTAGGGTTCAGGCCGAACAATCAATGAACTGAAAAATGAAGAGAGAGCGTGCAAATGGGGCGCAAACTGAAAAGCAGACACTCAGACACTCAGACACTCACAGTCAGACAGTCAGACAGTCACACGGTCAGACAGTCAGATGACCAGACAATCAAACAGGCAGACAGCAGACAGTCAGACCGTCAGACAGTCAGTCAGTCAACCATTTGCTCTTGGAGGAGACTTGGGTGCTCACGGGTCTCGTACCCAAGCACAGTAGAATAGTGAATTTCCGCTGAAGTTGGGCAGTCATAGTGGCAATAGACTGAGTACTAACGTGTCTCCCACCCAACTCCAGTATTTGACTGTCTGACTGTCTGCGTCTGTGACACCCAACATGACTGTCTGACTGTCTGACGGTCTGACTGTCTGCCGTCTGCCTGTCTGATTGTCTAATCATCTGACTGTCTGACTGTCTGACTGTCTGACTGTCTGACTGTCTGACTGTCTGACTGTCTGACTGTCTGACTGTCTGACTGTCTGAGTGTCTGCTGCGCAGAAACGACCCCCCTCCGCGACCTCAATCGAAAAAATCATAACAAGAAACCCCAAAAGACTAAGCCCGTAGACCCACCCCAAACTGCCACTCCTAAAAACCCTAAACCCCCAATCCCGAAAACCCTAAACCCCCTAAACCTCAAACCCCAAAATCTCTTTAATCCCATAAGCCCAAAACCCCCAAACCCCAAACCCCAAAACCCCCAAAATAATAATAATAATAATAATAATAATAATAATAATAATAATAACAATAACAATAACAATAACAATAATAATAATAATAGTAATAATAAATAATAATTACTATTATTATTACAATTATATATATTATTATTATTATTATTATTATTATTATTATTATTATTATTATTATTATTATTATTATTATTATTATTATTATTATTATTATTATTATTATTATGATTATTATATTATATTATTATTTTTTATTTATGGATTATATTATTATTATTATTATTATTGTTATTATTGTTATTATTATTATTATTATTATTATTATTGTTATAAATATATATATATATATATATATACATACATAAAACGAAGTTTCAGCCCAAGGCGCCCGGAACGTCCTTCAGGGGCTTGAGGTGCTCTTTCTCATACTCGTAGGCCTTCCGGGCTCTTCGGGGGTGTTTGGGTGGCTTAGGGCTTAGGGGTTTAGGGGTTTTGGGTTTAGGGTTTAGGGTTTAGGGATTTATAGGTTAGGGGTTAGGGCTCAGGGTTTAGGGTGGAGGCTTGGGGTTTTGGGGTTTAGGAGTCTGGGGTTTAGAGTTGGGAGGTTTGGGGTTTGGGGGTTGGGGGTTTAGAGTTGAAGTTGATGGAGGCCCGATGGTAGTACACGTTGGGAAGCTTCAAGATCGACCTGACCCCTCAAAGGCCGCAAAGCTCCCTGAAAACCACCCAATGCCTTGCCCCAACAAACCCTAAACCCTAAACCCTAAACCCTAAACTCCCCACGAACAAAAGCCTGAACCCCAGGACCTGCACCACCATCTCGAACTTGTCGATGTCCTTGCAGTAGATCGCCTCCACCGTCTTCAGCTCCTCGTGCAGGGCTTAGGAGGCTGTAGGGCTTAGGGTTAAGGGTTTGGGGTTTAGGGCTTGGGCTTTGGGGTTTAGGGTTTAGGGTTCAGAGCTTTAGTGCGTAGAGTTTGAGGGTGTGGTGTCCTCGTATTCGGCCCACAGCTCGAAAAGCTCTTGTCCCAATGGATCCCCAACCACCTAGGGGGGGGGGGGGGGAGGGAATTGGGTTTGGGGTTTAGGGTTTAGGTTTAGGGTTTAGGGTTTAGGGTTTAGGGTTTAGGGTTAGGGTCTAGGGTTTTGGGGCTTAGGGGGGGGGGGGGGGGGGGGGGCGTGGGGGATCGTCTGAACTCGATTGGGGGGGGCTGAGTTCTGGGCCCTGCTTCGGATCTCCACCATGGTATCAGATGTTTTTAAGAGCTAGAGGGTACAAAGTGCCTTATCACCCTAAAGCCTAAAGCCTAAACCCTAAACCCTAAACCCTAAACCCTAAACCCTAAACCCTAAACCCCTACTTTTGGCAACAAGAAAGCCGAAAACCCTTCCAGGCTGCGCAACAAGACGCCTTCCGGATGGCCTGCATGGCCTCCTTCTCCTTCTCGTGCTTGGAGGCCACCAGGGTCGGGTTGCCTTGCTACTAAGGAACCATATTACCCTAAACCCTAAACCCTAAACCCTAAACCCTAAACCCTTAATAGCCCAGTATATTAACCATATTACAATAAGGGCACCCTTTTTTTGGTTGGATACTTTAAGGGAGGATACTTCATAAGGGACCCAGAACCCTAAACCCACAAAAAAAGGGAGAAGGGTACCACTGGGCTGCCAAGTTGCAGTAGGGCGTGATGTCCCCTGCCAGGGCCTCGCAGAGGTCGTGGCTGACTGCCATGCGCAGGAGCCGCGTGGCGTCCACCTTCCCCGGGTGGAACTTCGCCGCTTCCGGGGCGGTGTAGTCGTCCCGCGGGTCGGGTGGCTGCGTTAGCAGCATGGCACACATGGCGCAGCGGTGCATGTGGTCTGAGTCGCTCTCCGGTAGAGGGACCTTCCGCATGACCCAGCCCGTCCGCTTCAGCCGCTTCAGAGTGCCGCAGATGTCCGAGATGAAAGACCTTGACGGTTAAGCTTACACAGAGAAGCGGTTCGGCTTTTTGGGATTTAAAAGAAAAGGGACTGACCCCGAAGAAAGTGAAAGGTTTGCCTGTTCCAACTAGGAGGCAGCGCGTCCACAGCTCCCGGCCCGGCCGTCTTGGCTCTCTTGGCTCCAGGCTCTTCCATGAGGGCGAACCCTGTCCTCCCCGGAAGCTGGGGTCGCCCAACCAGAACGCAGCCAACTAGGATCAAGGCCACACCTCTTGTGAGCCCTAAGTATAGGTTCCGCGTCAGCTTGACTGCCTGGTAAGGCATGCAAGCCTCGGCCGATGAATCTCAACTTAGGCTGGGTCATGCTGGGTTGAGGTAGGGTGTGAGGGGCTGGTGTTGCTGAGTGTCAGGGGCCTGTGCTGCAAATTGCCAAAGGCCACAGGCCTGATGTCTGAATCTAGCAGCCCAAACAGCAGCAGCACTCGGTTATCAAAACGTCGTAAGAGCATGCTGGAATCTGTACTGCTTGCATGAGCATGCTGGAACCAAATACCTCAAAACATCTCCTCTCCACCAAGTTGCCGTCCCCCCTCCCCAAACAAACACTCTAACAACAACTAAACCCTGAAGCCCTAGACACCCAAACCCTTAACTAAGAAATCCAAACCCCGAAATCCCTGCATGTAGGCCCGATAAACCCTACAACTCCTACAAGCCCTATGAGAACTATGGGCCTATGCGCCCTGTAAGCCCTGTTAGCCCTAAGTTTCATAGGCCTTAAAGCCCTCAACCTGCACAGATTCGAGGCCCCCCCTGAGGCTGCGGCTCGCAGCCCGCGGCATCTGCCCAGCGAGAAGGAGAAAAGAGAATGAGTGCGAAAGGAGGAGGGGGAGAGCGAGAGAGAGTGAGAGAGTCAGATTCAACAAAGAGAGAGAGAGAGAGAGAGACAGAAAGAGAGAAAGAGAGAGAGAGAGAGACAGAGAGAAAGAGAGAAAGAGAGAAAGAGAGAAGGAGAGAAGGAGAGAAGGAGAGAAGGAGAGAAGGAGAGAAGGAGAGAAGGAGAGAAGGAGAGAAGGAGAGAAGGAGAGAGGCTTCAGGTTTGAGTTTAGGTTTTGGGGTTCAAGGGGAAGGAAAACAAGAGACAGGGAGAGAGGGAGAGAGAGGGAGAGAGGCTGGAGGGACCTTCCTGGAGTTTAAGACCCCCGTACCATTATTGAGGCTTAGTAGGGTGCTTTTGCTGCTCGTGGCGCAAGGATAGAGAATGATGGAGAACAACATCCCCTCCGCCAACACTGGCTCAGCTGCTGCCCAAGCCACAGTCGCTGTCGTCACAAGGTCATCATCCCTGAACCCAAGCACCCAAAACCCTGAAGCCCCAAAACTCCAAAATCCCAAAGCCCCTAAACCCTAAACCCTAAACCCCAAACCCTAAACCCTAAACCCCAAACTACCCTAACCCTACAGGGGGTGCAGGTTGCAGCTTGCAAGAAATCTCTGATGTGTCCGGTCATTCGTTTTCGGATGGGGCGCGCGTCGGTCTTGCGAGGGTGTCTGCCGACTGTGATACCGAGCGGACAGACAGGAAGCTCCAAACCCTGAAGCCCCAAAACCGAAACCTTGAACCCTGAACCCTAAACCCTGAACCCTAAACCCTAAACCCTAAACCCTGAACCCTGAACCCTAAGCTTTCGAACCCCAAAGCCCAAAACCCTATGCCCCAAACCCTGGAGCCCATATTGAAGCAAACGTCCCAAACTGGTGCCAAAGAGGTGCTACATGGGTTTTTTCCCGTTTTTTTCTCGAGAATAGAGTACCCTTTTTGGGGTTTTTTTTCAGGGGATTCTGTTCTGTTTGGGGTATATAAGGAAGTACCCCCTATTTTGGGTTTTTTTTCTCGAGAATGGAGTACCCTTTTTGGGGGGTCCCTTTCAGGGATTCTGTTCTATTTAGCGTATATTATAGGGAAGTACCCCCTATTTTTGGAAATGCCTGCATAGGCATTTGCGTCTAGAAAGTTGCAGAGGGTTGAGGCTTCGAACCCTCAACCCTAAACCCTATAAACGCCCAAGTACGCTAACCCTAAACCCTAAACCCCATAACCCCGAAAACGCTAAAACCCTAAAACCCTAAAACCCTCAAACCCTAAAACCCCAAATACCCTAAAACCCTAAAACCCTAGAACCCTAAAACCCTAAAACCCTAAAACCCCAAATACCCTAAAACCCTAAAACCCTCAAACCCTACAACCTCAAAAACCCTAAACCCTAGAACCCTAAAACCCTTAAGCCCTACAACCTCAAAAACCCTAAACCCCAAACCATGAAGGGGCATCTCGCGGCTTGCTTATCGCGATGGCCTGCAAGGATTTCTTCTAAGGGGGTTTAGGGTTTAGGGTTTAGGGTTTAGGGTTTAGGGTTTAGGGTTTAGGGTTTAGGGTTTAGGGTTTAGGGTTTAGGGTTTAGGGTTTAGGGTCCTTATGTGGCCGCTTGCGACCGAGGTTTTTCAAAAAGGGGAATCGGCAAATTCGGGTTTGGGGTTTTAGGGCTTTGAAGGTTCAGAGATTGGGGCCTATAGGGTCCCTTAAAAAAGGAGTATCTAGGCGACCCCTGAACTCCTTCTTGCCAAGAGCCGCTTGCGCGTGCGCTGTGGCCATTGTTCGTCTGTTACCTACATGAACCCTGAACCCCAAAACCCTCCACCCAAACCCTGAACCCCAAACCCTGCACCCCAAACCCTGTACCCTAAACCTTAAACCGAAAAGCTGGAGGGAAACTTATTCACAGGCTCTCTGTCCAAACGCAGGAGGCACAGCTCGCGACGCCCGACGATTTCAGGGCAGCTTAAAAGTTGGGGAAAGAGGGTGTAGGGTTTGGAGCTTCGAGTTTAGGGTTTAGGGTTTAGAGTTTAGGGCTTAGGGCTTAGGGTTTAGGGTTTAGGGTTTAGGGTACCCTGTGATTCTGATAGCCAGGGTAAAGGGTGTTTCGTGCTACAGGCCTCAGGGCTTTTCAGAGTTTTGGGGTTGTATATCTCCCCTGCCTGGCATGTCTGGCGCTCCTTTGCAAAGGAGGCCCCTGATGAAGCTTCCCTGAACTCCGCAACCAAGCCGCAACCCCCTCTGCAGCGAGGTGCGGAGTTGGCTGAGACGGTGGCTTCGTAAACGCTGTACTGTCTTGCGGTTAGAGATTTAAGTGCTCTTGGCATGTCGACCTCTCTAAACCCTTAGTTTATGGCCACGCTCGGGGTTGTTGTTTAGGGTTTAGGGTTTAGGGTTTAGGGCTTAGGGCTTAGGGTTTAGGGTTTAGGGCTTACTGACTTGCTGTCACCGTGGAATTGTTCAGGTCGCCTAAACCTAAACCCGCTAAACCCAAAACCCGCTAAACCCTAAACCCTAAACCAATTCCTAAACCCTAAACCCTAAACCCTAAACCCTAAACCCTAAACCCTAAACCCTAAACCCTAAACCCTTGCCACGTCAATCGGGAACTCCGAAGCTCCGTCGCAACGGGGAAGGGGCTCTCTGCCCTCACATGGCATCCGCCGAACCTTGGGAGCTTTTGCTTAAGATTCTTTTTGAGGGTTTAGGGTTTAAGGTTTAGGGTTTAGGGTTTAGGGTTTAGGGTTTTGGGTTTAGGGTTTAGGGTTTAGGGTTAAGGTTGTAGGGCTTAAGCCTTAAGCGCTTAGGGCTTAGGGCTTAGGGCTTAGGGCTTAGGGCTTAGGGCTGAGGGCTGAGGGCTTAGGGCTTAGGGCTAAGGGCTTAGGGCTAAGGGCTTAGAGCTTAGAGGGTTTAGGGTTTAGAGTGTTTGAATTCCGTTTAAGGCTGCAGACTGAAGGTGATCCTACACACCCTCCCAAGGATCTGCCGGGTTCAAGACTTCAGAACCAAACCTTCGGACTGGTCGCAGCGTCAGCAAGAATGACAAACATGAGCACGGAAAGCAAGGAAACCCTAAACCCGTTGAGGTCAAGACGAGGGTGGAGCGAAAGCAGGGGTGGGGCTACGCTGGCTATGCGATGCGGGGCGCGCACCCGGAACCTTTTAGCACCAGCGCGCCCCCTCAATAAAGCACCCCAAGCCCCAAAACCTTGGGGCCCCCAGCGCTTCCGCGAGGGCGGGTCCTGCGGCTTTGGCAAGCCTTCGATTCCCAGCTTGTAGCGGATGACGAAGTCCTTCTGACCCCAGCTGCAGAGTAGGCGGACCAAACCACCACCATACTCCTAAGGACGAAGGGTCTCAAGTCCTAAATAAGAAAAGGAAAATTTCGTCAGCGACTCGTTGAAGGCTGTGTTCCATGAACTTCGGGCTGAGCTGCATAGGGTTTGGGGTTTAGGGTTTAGGGTTTACGCGTCTTGTAAAACTGCTGCAAAACCGACACATGTCTGCTACTTTGGGAGGGGGTCTTTGCAGCTGCTCGGTGCCGATGCATTACGTGGTGGCATTGTGTTTGAATTAGCGTGTCACAAAAGAAAATGTCCTACAATGTGACTGAGGGGGTTTCCGAAATTCGGGGTACCTTATTGAGGTATAATGAGGATCCCTCTATTTGGGTCTATATCAACCCCCATGTATCTGCGGTATCATGCACAGACTGCATCATCTAGGTTTGGAACTTGCCGAACACTTCAAGCTTCGGTTATGGACTGCACAGGGCGGTGGCTAGAGCCAGGAGTTACCCATTTTGGTTTTTGAGAGGCCGCTAAACCCTACAACAAAGAGGAATCAGGGCCGACTCTGGGGCCTAGTAGCCGTAAACCCTAAGGGCCTGCTCTGGGTCCTGGTAGCCCTAAACCCTAAACCCTAAACCCTAAACCCTAAACCCTACACCCATAGAAAAGGGAAGAAGGGTCTGCTGTGGGTCCTAGGGCTTTCAGGCTGAAGGGCTCAAGGGCTTGCTGTGTAGGTCCTTGGGCAGCAAGGACCTCAACCTCTCCCTGATGGAGCGGTAGGCCACCTAGCAAGCGCATTTCTCGTGGCCCGCGATGGTTTAGGGTTTAAGGGTTAAGGTTTGGGGTTTGGGGTTTAGGGTTCAGGGTTGAGGGGAATGCCGAGGACAGGCAGGCCGGCAAAGCGAAGACGCAGCTGAGAGAGCAGTTTCGGGTTTAGAGTTTCAGGCTTTAGGGTTCCATTCAAAGAAAGCCACAACCCTAAACATCCTCAACCCCCAAATCCTAAACCCTTCCTGCAGCTTCGACGGCCCAGGAAACCCGCAGCTGCCCAGGAGGGAGGCTTTGGCAGCTTGGTATGGAGCTTGGCTGGGATACTGTTAAGGAAGTTCAACTGAGACTGTTCTTTTGGGGCTTGGGGTATAGTGTAAGTAGTATAGCCGAAATGCTGAAAATAGAGGTCCCCCACCCCAGAACATGATGATCCTTGTCATAGGACGCCCAACACGGGTGCCCCTGACGCTCGGAAACCTCACCAAACTAAGCTGCCACAACCGAAACCATACCATTTAGGTTGGTGTATACCATGGTACCTTGATTTGGGCATTTCCCAGAATAGGGATACCCCTTGCAAAGCCTTAAAATATAATCACCTGCACAAGGAACCCAGAATACCTAATTTTGGGAAACCCACTTTAGCTTTACGCTGTGAAGTCCGCAGCCAGGGCTTCGGGTATGAGTTTTGGCTTCCGGGTTTTGGGTTTAGGGTTTGGGTTTTGGGTTTGGGCCCAACAGTTCCGCTGGCCTGTACAGAGCCCTCGCTCACCTTGACGACCGTCGCAACTTCTGCCAGCCTGAACCCCGCAAAGCCCCAAAACCCCCAAAGCCCTTAAAGCTTCGAAAGCACCTGAAACCCTGCGGTCCTTGTGTCCTTAGGTTCCTACTCTTGTGTCCCCAAAGTCCCAAACCCTAAACCCCGAACCCTAACCCGAAACCTTCTAAGAGGGGGAAGGGGTGAATAGAGCCTCCAGCCAGAGCCCTGCAGCTCTCGCCGCTTTGGGGTTTAGGGTGTATGGTTTGGAGCAGGTGTCTAAATTCGTGTCTTCTTAAAAAAGGGCTGGGGTAAGGGCCCGCGAAGTTAGGGAAAGCCCGATGGCCTTGTGATGACTTCGCCCCGTATTTTAGGGCTTGAGTGGGGCGTTTAAGGTTTAGGGTTTAGGGTTTAAGGGTTTAAGGGTTTAAGGGTTTAAGGGTTTAAGGGTTTAAGGGTTTAAGGGTTTAAGGGTTTAAGGGTTTAAGGGTTTAAGGGTTTAAGGGTTTAAGGGTTTAAGGTTTTAAGGGTTTAGGGATTTAAGGGTTTAAGGGTTTAAGGGTTTAAGGGTTTAAGGGTTTAAGGGTTTAAGGGTTTCGTGCTTAGTTAGGATTCGGGGTGCTCGGCCTTCACATCGTTCGCTGTCTGGGGCTGGATTCCATTGTTTTTGCCTTGTGGTTCAAGGATTAGGGGTTTAGGGTTTTGGGGTTTAATCCGCCTGCACAACCATACGTACGCAAGAGTGAGTCCAAAGCAGTCCTGGACATCGGATCGCGAAGCCTCAAACCCTAAACCAAGATCCCTACAAGCCCCGCGTTCCCCAAGACCCTCCCTAAACCCTAAACCCTAAACCCCAAACCCTAAACCCCAAACCCTAAACCCTAAACCCCAAACCCAAAACCCCAAACCCTAAACCCTAAACCCTAAACCCCAAACCCCAAACTCCCCCAGCCCCCGCCTGGGCTTCTGCTCTGCATCCAGGAGCCAGCTCACCACGAAGATGGCCGCGGCCATGGCCGCGGACGCCAGCGTGTGCTCCATCAGGCCCTGTTCAGAGCTGTTAGGGTCTAGGGTTTAGGGTTTAGGGTTTAGGGGCTTAGGGCTTCGGGATTAGGGTTTAGGGTTTAGAGCTTAGGGTTAGAGCGGTCGCACGCTCGAACCCGAAGCTGGCGATCCCCAATGCCCATCTACGTCCTAAAGCTTAAACTCTGTGTTGATGGCGGGCCCCAGCCCTAAACCCTAAACACCAAGGCCGGGAGACATGGTACCCTGAATCCCTAAACCCTAAACCCTAAACCTTGAACCCTAAACCCTGAATCCCAAAACCCTAAACACCTTAAACCCGCAACCCTAAACCATCGACCCTTCAATCCACGAACCCCTGTAGCCCAACCCAAAACGTAAACTAACACTACATGGCAGGGGGGCTCCGCTAGCTAGTGAAGGAAGGCCCGGAGACTCAAATGCAAGACGGGTGGGGGGTCGGGGTCAATGTTAGGGCTAGGTAGGGCCCCTAGTTATCGTGAACTCCATTATTGACCTAGACCCCAGTCCCAAACTACCATTAACCCGTTGACCCTGAACCCATGAACCCGGACTCCCCCTCGAAGCGCGCGGAGTGGGGTGAGGGAAACGAACCACGTCAAGGGGCTGTGAGAACCAACGCACTTCTCCATCAACCAGAAAGGAAAGCATCTCAACTACTGGCGAGTTCGGTCAGCAAAGCCCAGAACGCTGAAGCCTAAACCCTAAAGCCTAAACCCTTAAACCTAAACCCTAAACCCTGACTCACCCTGTTTCAGCCTTTCCCTTCTTCAGGACGTCCTGCCTGCGCGGAGCGATTGGCCACCGCGGGGAGCACTTTGGTTCGAAGTAGGGCTTATAGTCAATTTAGGATATAGGGTTTAGGGTTTAGGGTTTAGGGTTTCGGGTTTAGGGTTTAGGGTTTAGGGCGATGTCGTTGTCTCAACACCCCCCGCCCCGGCCCCCGAGGCCAACCTGTTTGCCCCCAGATATGCAAAACGCTCAAGTCGGGACTTTCCAAGATGGACTGTACCCAACTTCCCCACCGAAAGACCATTTGCTGTTGCTCTAAACTCGAAAAAACCCAACAACTGCCTGAAGGAAAACAACATCCCCCAAAAACCCTACCCCCCTGAACCCTAAACCCTAAAACCCAAAACCCTAAATCCTACTAAAACCCCCCAGCCGAGCAGCCGCAGAGCTTGGAAGGCGATGTGCCTCGCCGGGGCCACCACCTCCAAAGGGGTCTCTTAGGGTTTAGGGTTTAGGGTTTAGGGTTTAGGGTTTAGGGTTTAGGGTTTAGGGTTTAGGGTTTAGCAAAGGTGAGTTTCAGCAACCGAGTGCCCTAAAGCCTAAACCCGGACCCCTAAACCATTCGTTAAAGGGCTCCCGGCCTAAAAAAACGCTTCGGGCTTCAGGCTTCATGGGGGGTCAACTTGATGACCTGAAGCTCCCTAAACCATCATGGCGTCGGCGGGGTTTGGTGCTTTTGGGTTTAGGGTTTAGGGTTTAGGGTTTAGGGTTTAGGGTTTAGGGTTTAGGGTTTAGGGTTTAAGGTGTAGGGTCTAAGGTGTAGGGTTTAGGGTGAAGGGTTCAGGGTTTAGGGTTTAGGGCTTAGGGTTTAGGGTTTAGGGTGTAGGGTTTAGGGTTTAGGGTGTAGGGTATAGGGTTTAGGGCTTGGGGCCTGGGGGTTCAAGAGGGAGTTTAGGGGTTTTGAGGGGTCTAGGGATTTTGGGGCTTCAGGGCTTAGGCCTGCACCGCGAGGCCCAGCCGAACCACGTAGCGTCGTATATGTTCCTGGCAACATGCGGAGAGGTTTGGGGGTTTGGGGGTTTAGGGTTTAGTGTTTAGGGTTTAGGGTTTGGGGTTTGGGGCTTGGGGCTTCAGGGGCCTCGTCTTCCAAGTAGGTGGCGTGAGACCGCGTCCTGGAGAGATCCTTCCACGGCTCACGGCTTTCGGGCTTCAGGGCTTCGGAGCTTGAGGCTCTAGAGTGGTGTTCGGGTTTGGGGTTTAGGGTTTTGGGCTTAGGGGTTTGTTTTTAGGGGGCTTTGAGATTTAAGCTTCTCAGATTCTGGGATTTGGGATTTAAAATTGGGGGGACCAGGGATGGAGGTTAGGGTGGCGGGCTTGGGGCCATAGGGTCTTTTAAGGGCATTGGCTAGGGTTTGGGGTGTAGGGTTTGGGGTTTAGGGTTTGGGGGTTTAGGGCTACAGAGAGGCGATCAAGGCCTGCCGGAACGTGGGGTTTGGGTTCAGGTTTCGATGCTGAAAGTACAGCGCCAGCACTGAGCATGTCCCGGCAAAAGGGCTAGCCTCCCAAGCCCCTAAAACCATCAACCCTAAACCCTCAACCATCAACCCTAAACCCTGAACCCAAAACCCTAACCCAAACCCTAACCCAAAACCCTAAACCCTGAACCCCAAACCCTAACCCTTAAACACTAAGCCGAAAACCCTACACCCTTAACCCTAAACCCTAAACCCTAAACCCTAAACCCTAAACCCTAACACACTAAGCCTCAAAACCCTAACTGCCCCCTGGGCTTCCGGACGTGGTAGAGCTCTTTGCTGTGCTTCGCGATGAGGTCCTCGCATCGCGCCTGAGGACGGACGGGTTAGGGTTTGGGGTTTGGGGTTTGGGGTTTAGGGTTTAGGGTTTAGGGTTTAGGGTTTAGGGTTTAGGGTTTAGGGTTTAGGGTTTAGGGTTTAGGGTTTAGGGTTTAGGGTTAGGACTTAGGGTTTAGGGTTTAGGGCTTAGGCTTTAGGGTGTTTGGGGGGCATTTGAATTACATTTGCAGGCATTCTTGGGGTTCTGTGAGAGTTCAAGGCTTAGGGTCTGGGATTATGCACCGCCCACTCGATGAAGGGTGTGAAGCCTCCTCTTGCTTGTTGTTGAGGGGTTTAGCCATCTAGCTCTAACGGCTTCCCTCAACACTAAACCCCTAAACCCTAAACCCTTAACCCTAAACCCGAAAACCTGTGCAAGACAGAAAGAGGACTGTGGGCGAGCCAGAGGCTGTGACACATGGGGGAAGAGCTGACCTGAACAAGGCTTCAGGGTTGAGGTTCTAGGGTCTGGCTTTAAGGAACTTCTTGCGACACTTTCAACCGTATACTGTGAAACCTACACACCTACTATAAAGAGCGCGAGAGAGAGAGAGAGAGAGAGAGAGAGAGACAGAGAGAGAGAGAGAGAGAGCGAAAGAGGGAGAGAGAGAGAGAGATGCCAAACAGGGCCATCACTGACGGCTTCAGGGTTCAGGGTTTAGGGTTTAGGGTTCGTAGGGTTTAGGGTTAGTAGGGTTTAGGGTTTAGGGTCTAGGGGTTTAGGGTTTAGGTTTAGTAGGGTTTAGGGTTGCTTAGACCCTGAGCGCAAGCCCACTGCGCCTGGTTGAAGGCATGGATTTGCTTGCGGAGACAAGCATCAAGCGCAGCCTCGCGACTCGGAGGAGACTTCTAAGGTCCCAGTTTAGGGGGTTTAGGGGTTTAGGGTTTAGGGGTTTTAGGGATTTTAGGGGTTTAGGGGAGTACGGGGGGATTAGGGGTTTTAGGGGTTTAGGGGTTTAAGAGGTCTAGGGGTTTAGGGGAATTAATGGGATTAGAGGTTTGAGGGGTTGAGGATGTTGTGGGTTTGAGGTTCGCGATTTTTGATGCCTGCGAAAGGGAACATCAGGAGCGGCGGATTGCGCACAAGTTGACGTGAGAACGGTCACTGAGTTTGGGATGGTTGAGGCGGTTCGAGCGATGAATCCAATGCTGGTGGTGACTGTCTGGAACTGCTGGTCTTGAGCACCAAAACTTGTACTCCTACCACTACAGCGGGAACTCATTCAAGACAAACGAGTTCACTGAACGCATGCCGACAACACACAGTACGAATGTTATTGCCCACTTGTTGCTGATGAAACCTGAAGCCCTAACGGCAACTCTGAAGCCCTAAACCCTAAACCCTAAACCCTAAACCCTAAACCCTAAACCCGAAACCCCAGCCACTCTTCACCCGGTTCTGGCGCCTCGGTCACAGCAGCAGCATCCCCCTGCCACGTAGCCATGGTGAAGGCCTACTCGGCGGCAGCTAAGGCTGAAAGTAGGACACTTTTGGGGTGGAGGACTCTTGGGCTCAGGACCCTAAACCCTAAACCCTAAACCCTAAACCCTAAACCCTAAACCCTAAACCCTAAACCCTAAACCCTAAACCCTAAACCTACAAACCCTCAAACTCCAAGACCCTGAGCCACGCAGAGCCCCCTAGTGTTTGAGTGTTTCGGGTCTAGAGTCTAGGGTTTTCGGGCCTAGACCTAGTAGTAGAGTAGAAAACCTTTAACCTTTTTGGGGTAGTGTAATCCCCTTAGAATCCGAAAGGTTAACCTTTAATTCCCCCCAGGTTACTGGACAACTAAGTAGAAGTCGCCTGGCCTGCACCAGAGTACGATGACCTCGTCCACGACAGCAAAGAAAAAAACATGTCGAACCTCCGGCTTGAAGTCCGGCCCTTAGTTTCATGGTCCCTGGTCCTGGTCCCTTACCTGCTTTGCAGGATTCTGAAGTATGGGGCTTAGGGTTTAGGGTTTAGGTTTAGGGTTTAGGGTTTAGGGTTTAGGGTTTAGGGTTTAGGGTTTAGGGTTTAGGGTTTAGGGTTTAGGGTTTAGGGTTTAGAGTTTAGGGTTTCAAAAGGTTGTCCAGTAACCGGGCGCCCGTTGCTGTTTCAAGTGGTTGACAAGACATGCGGCACCTGAACAAGGGCCCCCCGAAAATTAGTAGTACCCCGAAACCCTAAACCCTGGCAGGGCAGAGGGCGATAGGGTGCTGGGGCGGCGGGCCTCCGACCCCCCTGTGGTCTGCAGTGGCGTGAGCGCCACCTTGTCAAGCTCGGGGGGAATTTTGGGCTTGCCTGGGGCTGGCTTTGGTCAGGGGGGAGAGGGATGGTTGGTTTTAGTAGCCTTTGGTGTTGCTTCTCTTGCTTTGGTTGGGAAAGGGGCAGGTCTTGGTTTTACGGGGGCCGAGGGTTTAAGGTTTTGGTGGAAAAGGCTTACGGCCAGCAGCGGTTTTCTAAACCCTACTAAATTCACCCTAAGAAGGGTGGTGAAACCTGGTTCCAGAGATATCGCCGGCAAAGGCTTCTTCTTGAATCTGCTGTGCAAATGACAAAGGAAAGTGCACAGCTTGGCAGGGCAGACCCAGATGCACAGGGGACCCCAACTGGACCCATGCAGGTGCAGCTCCTGAGGCGGTTGGGGAATGGCACCCCCTGTGGAAATGCGACCCTGGACGAATCTTCCCTCAGACAGCGATCCAGATGCATGACCCAAGGGTGTCTGACCCAATGGTGTAAGGGGCCCACAGCCCGACGCAAAGACCCAAAAGTGGGAGATCGGCTGGGCATGGGAGGCGCCCCATGGTCCAGCAGTCCACGCCCCTTTCGGCACACTGAACAGGAGACACAGGAGCAGTCATCAATGCAAGGCAGAAAGGAAGACGCAATGTTTCAGCGGGTGGCAGTGGGCCACGGCGGTATGCCCTATAGCCGACAGGCTGTGCCCAATCTCCCGGACTCAGCAGCAGCATCACATTGACGCTCAACTACAGACCTTGGGATGTTCCCCCTTAAACTAACAGTCCTGAACAAGGATTATCGTACCCCCTGGTGCCCGGCCCCAGACGGGCGGAGCACCGCGTGCGCAGAGAGGTGCTGGCATAAACCCCCTGGCTCTTAGCAGGGAATGAGGGAATGAAGGCCCTACATATATATATATATATACACATAGGGACTATATAGGGCACTGTACCTCATTCCCGCATTCCCTACGAAGAAGCAGCCAGTAAAGGAGAATGACAAAGGGCCTCGGTAGAGAAGCACTGACCGTGCCCTGGACACCCCAAGCCGAAATTTCCCGAAGCTCCGGCCGAAAGAAACCCAACAACGGGGCAAAAACCCCCGCGCATAGAGCAGAAATCTTGAAGCAGGAACTCGAGCGTCCATCCCTATTGTCAAGGCTTCCGGCTTGGGGTTTAGGCGTTAAGGGCTTAGGGCTCAAGGTTACTGTAAGGATTTGGGGTTTGGGGCTAAGGGCTTGGGATAGAAGTGATGGTGCCGGCTTGGAGATTGGGTGGCCCCGAGAGTTTCGGGTCTGAGGTTTTGGGGCTGAGGGCGCAGACTCTAGGATTCAGACCTGGGGTTTTGGAGGTGCCCTAAACCCTAAACCCCCAACCCTCAACCCTAAGCCCTAAGCCCTAAACCCTAACGGATTCCCGACACCCTGAACTCTTCAGCGCCCTGCCTTCACACCATTCACATTCAGAGGGCTTTTGAATGGCGGCTTCGCCACGGAGGCCTGGCAGCAGGATCTGGGGGTGTTTGGGGTGTATCTTGGGATGCTCCCCCTTAAAACTAGCAGTCCTTCACCTACTAAGGACTGTTAGTATAATAGGGATTATATAGTACCCTCTACTATAATCCCTATCAAGGACTGGTAGTATAAGGGGGAGCATCCCAAAGGCAGCCAGCAGGTGGTTGGCGCAAAAGCCGTGTGCGCCGGGGAACAGAAGCCACTTCTAGGGTCTGTAGCTTAGGACTTCCTGCCGTGGACCCAAGCGAACTCGCAACCCTGAAACTGCAGCAGGTGCGATGTGTAGGCTTCCACTAGCTTCCACTAAACCCCAAATTCCAAAAACCCCTCAACCCGACAACATCCACGAAACACTACATCCCTGAACCCTAGGCCCTCCCAAACCCTGAACCATGAACTCTCCGCAACCCTGACCCTAACCCTGAACCCCAAAAACCCGATCAACCCGAAGTCCAACCCGAAAGCCAAAGCTCCGGGCACCTGGTTCAAGGTGACCTTCATCGCCGCCCGGGTGCCGTGCCGCTGCACGCTAACGAGCTCCACCTGCACTACGGGCACTACGGGACTAAGAAGGTTTCCGCCTAAACCCTAAACCCTAAACACTAAACACTAAACCCTAAACCCTAAACCCGAAACCCTAAACCCTAAACCCTAAACCCCAAACCCTAAACCCTAACGCAGCTTGGGTATTCAAATCTGGGTTCAGGGAAGCTCCAAGTCCCCAAGCCCCAAAACCCGAACTCAACAACCCTAAACCCTAAACCCTAAACCCTAAACCCTAAACCCCAAGAGCCCGAACCTTCACCCAAGGCCCCATCGAGATACCTCGAAGCTTGTACAAGGGCAACATAACGTGGAAAAAGGCACTGCCTTCCCCCCTTCCCTACGGGGAACTAGAAACTCGTTAACAACCTTAAAGCCCTAACCCCCTAAACCCGAAAGCCGAAATCCTAAACCCCAAACCCTAAACCCTAAACCCTAAACCCTAAACCCTAAACCCTAAACCCTAAACCCTAAACCCTAAACCCTAAACCCTGCAGTTCTTGCGGTGCACCTCCTTACCGCCTATTGCTGCCATGTTGGACTCCGCGAGATCGTGCAGCGTCTTGGGAATCTTCTCCTGGGCCGCAGAAGGTCCCTTATAGGGCTTCTTAAGGTTTAGGGTTTTTAGGGTCTTTAGGGTCTTTAGGGTCTTTAGGGTCTTTAGGGTCTTTAGGGTCTAGGGTCTAGAGTTTAGGGTTTAGGGTTTAGGGTCTTTAGGGTCTTTAGGGTTTTTAGGGTCTTTAGGGTCTTTAGGGTCTTTAGGGTCTTTAGGGTCTTTAGGGTCTTTAGGGTCTTTAGGGTCTTTAGGGTCTTTAGGGTCTTTTGGGTCTTTTGGGCTTTTTGGGGTCTTTAGGGTCTTCAGGGTCTTTAGGGTCTTTAGGGTCTTTAGGGTCTTTAGGGTCTTCAGGGTCTTTAGGGTCTTTAGGGTCTTTAGGGTCTTTAGGGTCTTTAGGGTCTTTAGGGTCTTTAGGGTCTTTAGGGTCTTTAGGGTCTTTAGGGTCTTTAGGGCCTTTAGGGTCTAGAGGGTTTAGGGTTTAGGATTTAGGATTTAGGGTTTAGGGTTTAGGGTTTAGGGTTTAGGGAGGGGGCTCATGGGGAATAGGTACCCAGCAAACCTTAGGGAAGCTTAGGGAGCCTTAGGGAGAACCATGGAGAGCCCGATAACGAAGGTCTTCGACCTGAACTCTCCCATCCCCAAGCCCTGAACTCGCGGACATCTCCGAGCACTTCCATTCCGGTTTGTTGCTGGACACAACTCCCTAAACCCTAAACCCCAGACCCTACACCCTAAACCCCAGACCCTAGACCCTAAACCCTGCAACAACATCCGCGCATGCAACCCTTGCATACCCCTGGCTCCTCCCGACACGCCAAGTCAACGAGCGCACAGAAGTAGGGCGCCTGTTGCTGACAGGAATTCAATTGGCCAGGGCCTGGCGCCTCTGAGCTTACGTTGCATTCGCCCCGAACTCAGTCCGAACTTCTCCAAAACCCAAAAAAACAGCAGGTTCCTTCCCTTTCCTTCCCTTCTTGACTGCCGTAGCCTAGCCCCACGCTGCCGTAAACTGGTATTCATAAACGTTTCAGGGCTCGTGATGCACTTCAGCGTAGGACGAGTAGAGCTGAAAAAGGGGCATGTCTCACAAGGCAAGATGAGCTTCTAGCAAATCCTATTATTGGAACTATATAACCTGACTAGCCCCAAGACAACAAACGAGAGGAGTATGCACTGCTGATCAGAGATCTCAGTTCACAAAGGCAGGATTACGGGACCCTGAACCCCTCAACCCTAGAACCCTGAACCCTAAACCCTGAAGCCCTAAACCCTAAGCCCTCAACCCTAAACCCTAATCCCTAGAACCCTAAACCCTAAACCCTAAACCCTGCAGCCCTAAACCCTCAAAAGAGAAGCTGCTCTTTGGAACTAAGATCAATGGCAATGAAGCCCAAAAACCTATGTGAGGGTTTCCGAAATTAGGGGTACCTTCGTGTGGTCCTTACTATAATGGAATCCTACTATTTAGCGGTCCATATGCCCTAAACCCTAAACCCTAAACCCTAAACCCTAAACCCCCTATTTTCGGGAACCCCCAGATGGCCCCTAAACCCTACTCCACAGTCGGGCGCGCCGTTGCTCGCAGCTTGAGCTTTCCCTTGTCCGCCAACTCCTGACATTTACACATCCACCAGACCCACCCCCAAGGCGTACGTCTCTCCAAAATAGGATCGGCTGCATTAAGAGAAGGTCTCTTATAAGGTCCCTCCTTTTGGTCCCTGAACTGAGAGCCATACTGGTCTTCAGGGAGACCTGGGTCCTAACCCGAAACCCTAAATGCTGGTTGAAATTTCTCTGGAAGCTTCATAAGTTCCTTGGACACCCAAACCCCAAACCCCAAACCCTTTAACCCAACCCAAAACCCCTAACCCCTAAGCCTAAACCCTAAACCCTAAACCCTAAACCCTAAACCCTAAACCCCAAACCTGGTTTAGGCTTGAGGGTTCAGGGTGGGGAGTGGGGTTGAAGCCGCGACGTCCTGGAGAAGGACGGTACAGCGGTTCACCTCGGCGACTTGCGCACGGGCCGCTTCTTGGGGTCCCTGGGTTTAGGGTTTAGGGTTTAGGGTTTAGGGTTTAGGGTTTAGGGTTTAGGGTTTAGGGTTTCGGGTTTCGGGTTTCGGGTTTCGGGTTTCGGGTTTAGGCATCTAGGGTTTGGGCTTTAGGCTTTGGGGCTTGGGGTTGAGTCTGACCATGCCGGTCTGGGCACTTTGAGACAGAAAGGCCAAGGGCTTAAACCCTCAAACCCCTTGCCAAAAGAAAACTCCGACTCTGATAAAGAAATAAAGAAAACGCTTAGAAACCACAAGCTGAAGATCCCAAAGCAGACTTGCAAACACTAAGCGGACTTCCACCCGACCCGGAGCGGGAGTGCTTGTAGGATCTTACGGTGGGCTGAACAGTTTAGGGGAGTGGAAGAATCTGTGGTTCCGAAGCACCCCCAAAAACCCCCCCTCCCTACACACCCTAACCCTGAGCCCTAAAACCTCCTAGAACTCGAGACCCTCAACCCTCAACTCTCAACCCTAAACCCTAAACCCTAAACCCTAAACCCTAAACCCTAAACCCTAAACCCTAAACCCCAGAACTCGAGGCTCCCAAAGCCCCAGCTTCCGTTCACCAAGCCACCACCTCCTCGCCCAGCCGCAGACGCCCTGCCACCTCCCTGGCCTGCGGCGAGGCTCTGCGATGCCCAACCAGGGGCGGTTTGTGGTTTAGGGTTTAGGGTTTAGGGTTTAGGGTTTAGGGTTTAGGGTTTTGGGTCTTGGGGTTTGAGTTTTGAGTTTTGGGGTCGAGGGTCTGGGGTTGAGAAATGAACCTCGGGGACAGGAGCAGGCCCAGACTCCCGCTTTAATGAGCGCTTGCATCCTTCTCTGGAGGTTAACTACGGCGTGGGCTAACTTCAGAGCACCTGCCGACTCTTGTCTCCACTCCCGTCCTGCACCTGGCCGAACAACATCTTTCTGCTCTTCAGCCCGCCGTGGCAACGCCCTCCGACGCGGGGGCCAGGAGCAGGCCCAGACTCCCGCTTTAATGAGCGCTTGCATCCTTCTTTGGAGGTTAACTACGGCATGGGCTCACTTCAGAGCACCTACCGACTCTTGTCTCCACTCCCGTCCTGCACCTGGCCGAACAACATCTTTCTGTTCTTCAGCCCGCCGTGGCAACGCCCTCCGACGCGGGGGTCAGGGGCAGGCCCAGACTCCCGCTTTTATGAGCGCTTGCATCCTTCTCTGGAGGTTAACTACGGCATGGGCTCACTTCAGAGCACCTGCCGACTCTTGTCTCCACTTCCGTCCTGCACCTGGCCGAACAACATATTTCTGTTCTTCAGCCCGCCGTGGCAACGCCCTCCGACGCGGGGGCCAGGAGCAGGCCCAGACTCCCGCTTTAATGAGCGCTTGCATCCCTCTCTGGAGGTTAACTACGGCATGGGCTCACTTCAGAGCACCTACCGACTCTTGTCTCCACTTCCGTCCTGCACCTGGCCGAACAACATCTTTCTGTTCTTTAGTTCGTCGTGGCAACGCCCTGGGACGTGGGGGCCAGGAGCAGGCCCAGACTCCCGCTTTAATGAGCGCTTGCATCCTTTGGAGATTTTATGCGGCAAGTTCTCATTCTTGAGCACCTGCCCACTCCTCTCTCCACTTCCGTCCTGCACCTGGCCGAACAACGCTCTTCTGCTCTTCAGCCCGCCGTGGCAACACCCTCCGACGCGGGGGCCAGGAGCAGGCCCAGACTCCCGCTTTAATGAGTGCTTGCATCCTTCTTTGGAGGTTAACTACGGCATGGGCTCACTTCAGAGCACCTACCGACTCTTGTCTCCACTTCCGTCCTGCACCTGGCCGAACAACATCTTTCTGTTCTTTAGTTCGTCGTGGCAACGCCCTTGGACGTGGGGGCCAGGAGCAGGCCCAGACTCCCGCTTTAATGAGCGCTTGCATCCTTCTTTGGAGATTTTCTGCGGCAAGTTCTCATTCTTGAGCACCTGCCCACTCCTCTGTCCACTTCCGTCCTGCACCTGGCCGAACAACGCTCTTCTGCTCTTCAGCCCGCCGTGGCAACACCCTCCGACGCGGGGGCCAGGAGCAGGCCCAGACTCCCGCTTTAATGAGCGCTTGCATCCTTCTTTGGAGGTTAACTACGGCATGGGCTCACTTCAGAGCACCTACCGACTCTTGTCTCCACTTCCGTCCTGCACCTGGCCGAACAACATCTTTCTGTTCTTTAGTTCGTCGTGGCAACGCCCTTGGACGTGGGGGCCAGGAGCAGGCCCAGACTCCCGCTTTAATGAGCGCTTGCATCCTTCTTTGGAGATTTTCTGCGGCAAGTTCTCATTCTTGAGCACCTGCCCACTCCTGTCTCCACTTCCGTCCTGCACCTGGCCGAACAACATCTTTCTGTTCTTCAGCCCGCCGTGGCAACGCCCTCCGACGCGGGGGCCAGGAGCAGGCCCAGACTCCCGCTTTAATGAGCGCTTGCATCCCTCTCTGGAGGTTAACTACGGCATGGGCTCACTTCAGAGCACCTACCGACTCTTGTCTCCACTCCCGTCCTGCACCTGGCCGAACAACATCTTTCTGTTCTTCAGCCCGCCGTGGCAACACCCTCCGACGCGGGGGCCAGGAGCAGGCCCAGACTCCCGCTTTAATGAGCGCTTGCATCCTTCTCTGGAGGTTAACTACGGCATGGGCTCACTTCAGAGCACCTACCGACTCTTGTCTCCACTCCCGTCCTGCACCTGGCCGAACAACATCTTTCTGCTCTTCGGCATGGCTCACAAGTCAAGCATTTCCCTGAAGGTCGTTGAGTGCGGGCCTAACTGGGTCGCCAGTGATCTACTCTCCATGGGGCACTTACAATGAGGGTTCCAACTTCTAACTTACAACCCCTAAACCCTAAACCCTAAACCCTAAACCCTTAAAGTGTGCAGGGCCTGGCGAGCCCGTAGTGCAGGCCCAGGTTTCCTTTAGGGTTTGGGGTTTGGGGTTTAGGGTTTAGGGTTTAGGGTTCAGGGTTTAGGGTTTAGGGTTTAGGGTTTAGGGCTGGGAACGGAGGGTTGTTGAGGGTTTAAGGGTGTAGGAATCCGAGACGACTGGCCTTCTCCGTAAAGCGCTGGATGAGTTGCTCCCGCTTCTGCTCCTCGCTGAGCTCCTGCAGAGTGGTCATCAGAGGCTCTTTCATCAGCCCCTAACCCCTAAACCCTAGTCCCTGAACCCTAAACCCTAAACCCTAGTCCCTAAACCTAGCTCCCAGACCCTCATCCCTAAACCCCGAAACCTAACCTGCGTTTAGGAACCTTCGCAAACCGCCCCCGCACGCGAAGCGCTCCGGTTCTTCTGCTCTCAGGCGACCACGGAATCGATACCTAAACCGTTGGGCCAATCGCAAAGAATCCTAAGCCTTAAAGAACTCCCACGGCCTGGGCGTTTGGGGTGTAGGGTTTAGGGTTTAGGGTTTAGGGTTTAGGGTTTAGGGTTTAGGGTTTAGGGTTTAGGGTTTAGGGTTTAGGGTTTAAGGTTTAGGGTTGAACTCCGTCTCATGGGGTTTGGAGCTCAGGGTCCCACCCCCCCCCCCCACCCCGCGTCTCCGGCGTGTTGCGGCTTTGAACCTGCTTGGTCAGCATCTGCATGCGGCGCCTGGGCTTCTGCTTCAGGTGGGAAGGCTGTTTTGACATGGTCCCCCTGAACCTTCTTTCAAGGGTTCCGAAAGTACTGCCGTTAGACTTGGGCCTAGGCGTTTACAGGGCTTTGGGTCTACGGGATTCAGGTTTTGGGTTGAGGGGCTCTGACGGATCTAGCAGGGGATGCTCTACTGATCTACAGACCATGAAAAAAGGGCCGCGTGGGAAATTCCATTGAGCTTGCGCTTTGTGCACTTACACTCAGGTTGTAGAAAGGGTTCTTGCTTGAAGGTTGATGGTCCTCTTTAACCAATAACAACTGTACTTATAACCCAAATTATAACCACATTTGGGCACCTAAGGGGCTCATAAGTGTGTTATAAGTACAGATATAACTGGTTAATAAGTACCATGAACCTTCAAGTGCGAGTACATCTCGTGCCCTATTTAAAGCTCTCA